TTTTTTTTAAGAACTATATATATATATATATAATAGGAAAAAAAAGATAAAAGAAAAATTATAAAAATTGATTAGATGTTTAAAAATAAAAGATGGTTCATGTATCATTGTTAAACAAAGTTCATTACACAAAGCACCGATAATGGTGTGTTAACATACACTATTTACATAGGTCAATTCATTTGTTTCGGATTTGATAAAGGAGAAAGGCTTAACACTCTAACGAGTTCATGCAATTTCTTGCATGTTCCAATTGTGTGTTGTGTTCTGGGTTTTGTCTAGCTACCTATAATCTCAATATTTAACACTTTTAAAAAGGATTTAATATAGATAATTAGTAAATGACCAGGTGTAATAGGTTTGGACCATAAGGTTTGATACGACTTTTTGTCAAATATGTAATATCTGGTTAGAATTTGTACCGTTGAAAAATTATTTTAGTTTCCTAATAATCTAGTTAGGTGCACATATTTACACAACTTTGTATCTTATAAATAAGGTGTACATGTTTTATTTTGTATTAGATAATGAATATATTTTAATTTATATTTTTAAATTGGTATATGAGCGATAACCATTCTTAGATTTTGATATATGGGTTATTAATATTGGAACTACAAATCACATGATATTTGACTTAAGAAGTCCACCCATATAAATCATTTATACAAAAATATATTTTAATGCAATTGGAAATCAACAAGCCCAAATTATTTAACAAATATCTTTAAATCTTACTAGTACTTTAAATCCTGATTTTGTTTTGATTTCCTTCTTTAAATTTTTATCTTTTTTTTTTCTCAAATAACAACTAAATTATCTTGTGTGGTCATTGTTTTGGCTTGACTCTTGTGTTCCTATAATCATAAAAACAAAACAATCATTGAATTATGGTAATAGGAGAGAAAACTTGTATTACCTAGATCTATCAAAAAAATCATATGGTGATACACTGTTGTGTAGGATCCATCTAAAAAATTCAAATTTTAAGTGAATCTTGTTGGTTTGTCACTTTTATTAATGATTGTACATGAATGACTTTGTTGTACTCAATGAAATAAAAAAATAAGATAAGTTTATTATTTAAAAAAATTGATAAAATGATAAGAACTTAATATAATGTTAAAATTCATATTTTGTAGAGTGATAATAGTAAGGAGTGTAAATATTTTGAACTACAACAATATTTAAAAGATAATGAAATTATTAATCAAACTACTTGTTATAATACACCTCAACTAAATGAGATTATTTTGAGAGAAAAAATGATATTTGTTAGAAACTTTTTGTGCTTCATTAATTGATACATACATGTCATTGTATTATTGGGGAAAAACTCGTACTTTAACAGTATATCTAATAAATCAAACTCCTTCAAATTCTATTGAATTTGAAACACCTTATGAAACTTTACATAATTTAACTATCACCCCAATAGTTCCTAATTTATGCAATTAGTTGGTCCCTGAGGTCATTCGATGTGTTTTCGTCAAATATATTGTACATCAAAAAGGCTACCGGTGTTATCATCTTCCTACTCATCATATGTATATAAAAACATATGACTTTCCATGAAGACAAAATATATTTTACCTTTGAATCTGATTTTCAGGGAGGGAACCAATAAAATATTCAAAGTCTATAGTATAATGTGGATCTAAGTGATATGATTTCATATCATCCTCCTTTAGATGATAAATAAATTCGACATTAAAGCATCACAAGAATCTCTTACTAGAGATAATATTAAAGTATCTCTAAGATTCTCCTAATAAAAGTAATATGAAAGTCATACATGAACATCTTAATTGGGATAACGTTGAAGTACGACACTAACCTCTAAATGAAGATAATATTGCACCACTTGAACTTCTTAACAAATATATTATCAATTATTTGTTTACCAAAAAACAATTGTCAAATAGTCTCCCTAGAGCTATTCCTAAATTTACTTATAAATTTAAACTCTTTAGTAAAGTTAAATATCTCGAGTCATTATTTATCTAATAATAGACTGTCATAAATAAACAAAATATTTATGAATCAGTTATCTATTGTAGTTATTCTTAACAATGTACATGAAGCTTTAGTTTATTTAAGATGAAAGGTTGTTATAAATTAAGGTATGAATTCATTTCAAAAGAATAAAACTTAGACCCTTATTGATTGTCTACCATGAAAGAAACTGGCAGGATGCTAGTGAATTTATTCAATCAAACACAAAGTAGATGGCACAATAACATAATTTAAAGCAAAAATTATGGCAAAAGGATATATCCAAGCATACAAGGTTGATTATACATAGACATTTACTCCTGTAGGAAAAATTAACATTATTTTAGTATTATTATCTTTAGTAACAAATCTAGATTTACCATTTAAACAATTTGATGTAAAAATGTATTTTTACATAAAGAATTAATTGAAAAAATATAAATGGAGCTCCCATCAAGTTGTATGGTACCTAAAAAATATAATAAAAAAGTATGAAAATTGAAAAGAAAAATTGTATGAGTTGAAACAATCCCATGAGTATGATTTTGAAGGTTTACAAAATCTATGATAACATTAGGATATAATCAAAGTAATACATATCATATTTTATTCTTGAAGAAATAAGATAAATACATTTATTGTATACGTGAATGATATGATTGTTATAAAAATGGTAAAGAGAAAAGTAAAGTGTTAAAAGAGTATTTATAAGAGGAATTTAAAATGAAGAATATGGTTCCTTAGAATATTTTCTAGGAATTTGAAATGAAAGGATCTTGATTCCTTAGACTTCTTACAAGAAAGTATGTTAGTTTTCCAACTATCAAACACACCAATGGAAGAAGGTTTAAAATTACCAATTGCATCAAATCAAGCTTTAGTTAATAAACTATGAAATCAAAGAGTTTTAAAGAGATTGATGTACATAATATACATAAGACTATAATAATTAAACTAAGATATTAAAAACTTCTTACCTATTAAATATTGTCAGTCAATTTATGTATAATAATTAAAGAGCAATATAAGAATATAATTATGAAAATTTTAAGATATATAAAGTCCGTATTTAAACAATTATTATTATTATTATTCACTAAAAATATAAAATATTAACAAATAAATATATATACTGTGATTGGGTTAGATCGTTTGAAGGTAGACTATTAACATCTTACTACTTTACATTTGTAATGATAATCTTAGTACATGGAGAAATAAAAAATAAAATTTAATATCTCGATCAAATACAAAAACTTAATTTAAAAGTTTAACACTTGAACTCTTTTAAAGGTTATTATAACTAAGATTTTTTATTACAAAATCTTGGATAATTATCCTCACAACCAATTAAACTATATTATGATAATAAAATTGTTTATGATATTCATAATCTAGTATAATATGATCAAACAAAATATGTTGGAGTAGATAAATTTTTTATCAAGAAAAAATTTAAAAAAATTTAAAATTACATATAATTTACTTATAATATTAATAATTCTAACAAAAATAATCTCAAATAAAATATTTTTAAACATCTTGTCATATTAGATATATACGAATTATATGCACCAATTTAAAAAAATGGTTAAGATTTTTTTTAAGACATTATTATACAAATTTTATAATATCTAAGTAGAATTTATATAATTAAAAAATATTATAAATTCCTAATAATTTAATTAGGTCTACATATTTATGTCATTGTACACATATTTTATTTTATATCAATGAACATATATGTGTATATTTTACAAGTTTTGAACACAAACCACCAACTCAATTTGTAGGTCAATCACGAATCAAAAGTATAAAACGTAACACATTGTCCTCGAGGCTTACACACGTGGTGCACAAGTTCCACAATATTTAACAGATCCTTTCATTGACCCATTATTTATCAGAGGGAAAAATCAACCAAGCCTAACCACTTAATCCAATTACATTACCTCAAACCCATGCCTATCCTAGAGACTAGTTTATTTGTAAACCCAAAGCAGCAGGGTTATTTTTTCTGCAATTCAATACTTTCTTCTTATAACTTATATTATGATAACATTGTCCTTAAATAGGTTTTAAAAAGTTCATTTAATCAAATTAATCCTTATCTACTAATCAAATTTCTTAAAACAGTAGGTCAATTCAATTTTTTTCTATTAACCTTTAGATAAAGATGAATCGATCCTCGTATATACAAATTTAATTGTCATTTTAAGAGTAAGAGGTGTAATAAACACGTACAAAAATATAACATGAAAAAAAAAAATGACTTCAAAATAGAATGCAAAAACTATTGAGGTGCAAAAATAATAACAAACATAGATGTAAAAGGAAATATTATAAGACTTTGTCGTTATCCTTCCCACCAATCTCTCACTAATATTAATCCCTTTAAATTGATATATTCACTCAAATTTACTAAAAATCCTTACTTATAATGAAACACACTTGTCTAACCCCATTCAAAAAAAAAATCGATACATAAATCACTCTCAAACTATCAATCATTATACAAACTATCAACTATAATATTATTATTAAATATTTCAAAAATATATTCAATAGACAAAATATCAATAAAACATGTAAAATTGACATTAACTTCAACCTAAAATATCAAATTATTAATTTTTCTTTCTTATATTTTATTCAATTTCCTTATTTTTACTCAAACATAAATTCCCCTGTATCCTGACATAAATTTCTACAGTTCCGACAATAATAAACTACAATTTGTTAACGTTGAAATTTAAAAAATTTAAACGTAATTACTCGCAGTCAATTATCCAATTCAACAGGATTTGCTTCGTGTCAAAGCAGCAATTGCACTAAAAGGTGTAAAAAACATTTTTGTTTTCCATTTTTGAACAGGCGATTCAATACAACAAATATAGTACAGGTAAACTGTATGAAATCGTTACGTAACAACGAATTAGACATTAACTCATCTATAAATTCGGACTGGGAAAATACATTATACACAATCCCGTCAATGCTTGGGACTAATCACTTCTGAACGACTCTTGTCTTTGTGAAATCACGAGCAAAGAAGTTTTCTGAAACCAATAATCAATAGACCTCAGTCATAAACTTTAGCTAATATGATTGTGATGCATGACGATAACTGAATGTATTACTTATGGTTCGTTTGGCTGAGAATGACGATAACTGAATTTTCTAATTCACAAACCTTGGTTCCTGCAACGATGGCATTATACAAAGGGTGAGCAGCACATGAGATAACTCCTTCAGATAACGAAATAAATCTGTTCCGATTTCTTCGGTTGTTCCGCCTTGAAATTTCTTGCATATCCTCCCTGTAAATGAAAATTTGAAATGCTTAGAAAGAAATATTGCGAAATGCGGTTTGGTTAGTAAACTTAGGCATATGCACACATGGCATTCACTGATGATGTGGTTAATTTGATTTGAGTACACCAATTTCATCGTACGTATGCCTTTTCAATTAAGTGTTTAATTCAAGTCAAAAAAAAAAAAAAAAAAAGAGTTTGCCGTCAATTAGTAAACGAGTGCCTTACTTGTAATCCACATGGCATGGGGAGTTGGTGCTGGGATAGAAATCCAAGAGATGAATACCACAGTCAGACGATGACCCGGCCAAATAGATCTGTCATAAATTACAACAGTCCTAATTTCGTGTATAAATAAAATCCAGAAGCTTACGTTCAAATATGTTTTATAAATGGTTATCCACGAATAGTATAGTAATGAATATAAGCACCAAGAGCGCACTAATTGAAAAGCCCGAGGTCAATATTTTATTTAAACCAAACATTACGTCTGGGTTTAAATTATATTTTTTTAAGGTTATTTCAATAATTGATCAATTATAAATATATTATCGTTATATTTAATCTATATAAAATAAAGCTTATGTTCAAATACGTCAGATAAAAACAGAGTATAAGACAACAACCTACTTTATTTAGAATGTCTTAAGGAAATAGCTTCTATAGAAAAAAAAATAAAAAAAAATTTATAACAATTATTTTATGTATAAAATATTTATCGAGGGAATATAACAAAGCAAAAAAATAGCTAAAAATAATGCTAAATTTAATCATCCAAACTCTTACATATTTAAAAAACAATTTTCCTTTATGACAGAAATAATTTACGATTACAGTTTAAATATACAGGAAACAAAGTATTATAACTCTGAAAGTAATCCAATCTAAACGAACTATCTCACAAGCACTATATCAAAAGTAGAAATTATTAATAAGCTATAAAAATGAAATCAGTTTCTCAGCTTGTACAGTGAATTAATAAAAGTTTTCTTATATAATCGTTTCAAATTTTTGTTTTTTAACTTGTATCTATGTTAATTTTAGCTTTTAGAAAGAAAAAAAATTATTTGACCCTTTTAGAAATGTATATAGAGAAACTTATCCATATTTTTATAAGAAATCATGCGTAAAGATAGAGAGGTGAATTATATTCAATAGAACTTCTTACCGAACACGTCGATAACCATGAAGGTTTTCTTAAGTATGACAGATCAGAGGGAATATAAGAATCGTTCCTAACAAAAGAAAATAAACAGTAAACAAAATAATTAGACATATCGAAAAGCATCTCACAAATATGAAAAAGCGACCCTATATGAAAACGGACTAACTTACAACCAAGCTGGGGGTGGACAATGAATATGTGTAACTTGAAAATTATTAATATCCAAAACACCTGACCTGCATGAAAATATTAAGGAAAAATTACCGCAACGGAGTATCGAATGTACAATATTTGATGTACATAACCCCTACCAATATCAAAAGGCACTGTTTCAAGGTAGATAATGAGCTCAAACTAATAATTTCCAGATCCAACGTTGAAAAAAAATCAAGAAAATGAGACCATTTAGAAATCACATTAGCCGAAAATGTAATAAGCAGTTAAGTTGTACTCTCAGTTTGTAGTTTAATGATAGAAAATTTTAGATGATATAATTATGTAAATACATTGAAATTTTCATTATTAACAGCCTCAAAACACACTTCGGCAACTTACCAGCCATCGACAAGATGGAATGCTAACTGATATGGGCACGATGGATTAATAACAATAGAGTGAATCTCCTTGGGAACAATATTTGTCTGTGCCTGGATACATAAGAATAGCTAACCATATTAATTGCTAGTCAGCTAGACAATGACCACATGGTGCAATCTAGACATCATCGCAAACTAAAAGCTTATTGCCATTGATTTGAAGAATGGATACTTGTATCCTCCCTTTTTAGTGAGTCAGTCACAAGTATGACACCAAACTTTGTACATACTCAAATGCACTGATATTAAATACAGATGTGTGACTTGGTTCTATTTGGATGAGTTCCTCCATAAACACTTCTAATAGAGAAAAAAATAAAATAATAATTTGACTTTTCTATAAGTTAAAATTAGTTTATATATAAACTAATTTGTAAAGTTATCATGTATAACTTCACCAAAAAAAATATTTTATTAACTTGTATATCAGCTAATTTTGGCGTATGGAGAAGGTAATTTCCTCTTTTTCTTCGTATTTTGCTCTTTTGAAAGTTCTTCGGAGAAACTCATCCAAAATGACCCTTACTCCTATTAGGAGTAGGAAATCTAAAAGAACAATCTAAAGATGATAGAGCCAGTTAACAACTTCTAAATCATGGTAGAATATAATTATGACAACATTTTGTCTGAGAAAAATATAAAGAATTCATCTGTAAATACTGTCAAATTTTTGTCTTTATGCTTAATCACTACATACCTAAAGAATGACATCACAACACAATATATTTATATAGAGATGACAAAAATCGGGCTACCTTGTCTCGGTTTTGCCCCACTCCATCTTTAACTCGGCAAAAACAAGATTGAATAGATTGTTAACCTTGGTCCATCTCGTCAAAGGACAGGTTGGTGGACTAGCCCGCCATAATTTATTTTTCAATTTTATTTATCTTATTTAAAACAAGTTTTTCAATAAGTTTAATAATAAAATTATAATTTGTTTACTAACAATTCAACATATATGTTTTAAATTAATAATATAAATTAACATATTAAAAAATTATAATTTAGAACAATCAAATTAAGATAAAATGTATATAGTAATAAATAATAACAAAAGTCAAAACTTGTAAAATTTTTATTTTTTACATTGAAAAATTCAAACACTTAAAACGAAAATTACATTTTATTTTTTTATTTTCTTTCCTTGACTCACACTTTCAATTCAAATCATGAGGATAGGAACAATCAATGCTCAAGATGAGCAAGGAGGAGGAGACAAGAACTTGCTTGAGAAAAAATAGTATTTCCCGTAGTGAGTGAGTAAGAGGGAGACTTTTTAATTATCTTTTCACAAATTTTTACCTGCGATTGATGGTATTACAATAAAAAAAATTATCAATTAAGCAGGTGGCAAATTAGTTCACCCTGTCCTACCGGTTGTTGGGCTTAGCTGACAGGTTGAAGATACCAATCCAGCCTGCCGAACCAGACCCGTTTTGTCATCCCCATAATTATATCAAAGCTGAAATGTTGAAAGAGAGAATACATAGTTGAAGGGGAGAAAAAAAAGAAACTGTCGAAAATTCCTCTGCCGCAGCTTACAAAAAACATGCATGTAACGCGATAGTCAGAGAATGACATGAGCCTTGCAACGGAGTGTAGGAAATACCTATAAATAGATTAATAGAAAACTAAAAATTGGAATAAAAAAATCACCAAAATACTTAAAATGTCGGGGGAGAATGAAGTGAAAACTAGTCTTACTGGAACACCAAACTTCAATATAGATATGACTAAGTTATGATATTGACGTTACTGGTGGAGCTATATATTTCTCATTACTAAAAATAGTCATTCATAAGTAGCTCAAAATATAACAAACCTATATAGCCATCAGACAAATATTAAGAAGTTTTGCTTACTTGTTTAATTTGTAAAAGTAATAGGGGCAGGAAGGATAACCACACCTTCAAAGATCCAATCTTCTCTAGCAATGTTGCCAATTTCACTGATGTCACAGGGGGATGGCACATCTAGAAAGCCAAATAAAGAAGAATAAGACATCTAAAAGCCTTCTTAACATATTTTACAATATTTGCCCAATTTAACAAAAGTAAATACATTCTCTGCTGCAAAAGGAGGTTGGAGACAAAGTTCATATCACCAAAAATTTAAGCTGTAGAAAGGCATGCATCAAGAAGTCATAGGCTTCTGCATCAATGTTTATTTTCAACAATTTATATCCCAGGTATTTAGATAGATAGATATATAAATATATCAACAGAACAGTATTTTTAACATCATATTTGCAATATCGGCCACACAAATTAACTTCATCGGCACTGTTGGGCCATGTTATGTAATATTTGACTTTTTTATCATCAGCACTGTTAGTGCCATTTTAGTTAGAAATACAATATAAAATTATCAATGTGTCTTCACCTGACACCATAATTAAACTCAACATTACATCAAGGGGGTCTAGAGTTCAATTCTTAATCTCTCCCCCCCCCCCCAACCTCTACTAAGAAATTGAACCACTGCAAGCCCGAAGAACTCTCACGTGAAAAGGCACGTTAAAGACATAACTAGTAACTTAAACTTTTGATTTATGAAAATACGCTTAAGACTAAGCTTTGAACTTGTAAATAAGCAAAGAATAAGCCATTAAACGAGAAGGCAGGTTGAATGAAAAGGCACGTTAAAGACATAACTAGCAACTTAAACTTTTGATTCATCAAAATACGCTTAAGACTAAGCTTTGAACTTGTAAATACGCAAAGAATAAGCCATTAAACGAGAAGCCAGGTTGAATGAAATTTCCTTAGCCTAAGCAAGCTTCGTCAGCCAACGCAGAAGTGGATGCACTACAGATAAAGTGTCCAAGCAGTACTATTGACTTGCATAATTTTACGTATCTTTTTCATAACATAAAAGAAAGAATAAGAACTATGTATATAACCTCTTTGAGACTTTGAAAATTAGCAGATGCTCTTCCACCACGAATATCCCATACATGCACGAGCCCATGTTTTCCAGCACCAAAAATAATCTGGAAAGGATAGAATAATCACTGTTTGCAAGTGTATCGACTGAACAAAGTATAGGTGTATTCCAAAATTCGTTCAAATCAAAACCCAATTCAGCAATAAATGAACTATATCATCGACAGCAATTTTATCAAGGTTAAGTGGACCACTACATTAAAAATAAAAAACAATAAAATATAGGACAAAAGTATCAATCTTGGGGATATTTCAGTATCAAACATTGATTTACTAAAAGTCTATACCAGGGATGTTCAACATTTTATTCAACTGATTTTGATTTAAATTTTGAATTCTTAAATGTGTTTAAGGACACACTTAGCCTTCGTCTAAAAAAGGGAAGGGACTAACTGGCCCAAAAAAATGCATCACTCCTAACGAATTACAAAAAATTACTAAATAGACTAGATACACAATTCCTAACCTGATTATCTGCATTTAACTGGATGCTGTTAAGCGTACCACATGAAGCAGATGCAAGCTCAAGGCAAGGTAGAGAGTTAACTCTTCTATCCCAGACATTAATTGCACCATGTGTATCAGAAGCAAGTATCCTGCTGAAATTTGCCAACAAATTGAGAAAAGCATAGCGACGGAAAGAATTAAAAGTTCACAAAATGAGAATCACTGGTAAGTGTTGGTTGTTAATCAAACTCCAGTGTCTAGATATAATCAAGATTTAATTACTCATTGAATCCTATATTTATACAACTTTACCTTTCTAGTCCTTATAAATCATTCATTTTAATCCTTTACATTGTTCCTATCAAAGACAAAACCTAAATGGAGACACCTTTTAAGGATAAAGTCTAGCCCACCACGATTTTATCCTTAAGTAACCAATGAAAATCTTTTACTTCGGCCCATTAGGATTCTTATAAATTAAGACCTATGAAGAGGTTTTATATAATCTTTGGTAGGCAAGAAAACCCTAAATTCCCATGAAAAGCATTTCTCTAACCATTCATCATGGATCAACTTTCAATCATCAAAAGTTACTCTCTAGTGAGAAGATGATTGGCTACTTTATCTTTTTGTTAGGGATAAATGCAATGAGACCAAAGCCATGTAAACACATAATCTTGAAATTATCAAAAATTTATTTTAATTATATTCTTTCTCTCTATACGCAATGCTTGTGTTAGTTTGATCACCTTTAACTTTTAACTGGGATTTGATTAAAATTGAAAAATGATTTTAAACCCAAAATATTAAGAATAACACCTAATTGAAATTAATGCTAAAAATAGATTGATTTTAATTAAGCATCTTTAAAAACTTTTGTTCTGTAATGTTGATTGATTAATTATAATTTGCAAATGATTGAGATTATAATTAATCAATTCAGGTTTATTTGCTTAAAGAATTAAGATTTGAATAATTAAATCCTCTGTTGATATGATAGGGATTTACCAAAATAAGTTTTTTTTAAGTGGGGTGGTTTCGTGAAATTCAACCCTAACATCTTCATATGACGGTTTATAAACTAACAATTTAAAACCCATCCACTAGTATCAATTTTAGAACACTTTAGGAGTTGTTAAATAGATTTCAATTTTAAGAGTCTGGCAGTTTTTACGTTTTTCTCTTTTCTTCTGTTAACGGTTATTAATATTACATCTTTAGACATCATAAATATAAGAATGGGAATTCATTATTCCAGTCAAGTAATTCATCTAAATTAGGTTTAAGTTACCAACCTTGTGTCATTTGACGTAAAAACCACATCAGAGATACCTTTATGTATGGTGGACCCATTAACTGTGGTTGTACCTCTTGTTCTTAACACCTGTATTATGTAATTCGAGGGTCAAAAATTAGTTAGCCTAGCATCAAAAAATAAACACCTGTATAGCTGCCTATGACCAAAAAACACTTCTTTCGAAACTAAAACAAAGCCAAAATAATAAATTATGATGAAAATTGCAATTTCCAAGCACATCCCTTGAAAAAAGGATAAGAGCAATGTGTGATTTGATCATGTAAATGGAAGAGTGTTCTGCAATAAACATTTGTTTCCAAAAGGCATTAGTATCTACCGTGTGCTTCCTGGTTCGTTTGTATAAATGTGCATCCAAAAGAAATGGGTAGCAAGATATTAATCCGGCTGACCTTATTGGAGATAATGATTTGATGAAGTATCAAAGGATACGATGTAAGACTTCTAGAAGGGAGATCAACAATTCTTTTATTGCTCAGTAATAACTCTCAGAGATGCATAATACTTTGATGTAGTGCTTGTACATATACAGGACCTTTGTACATTGTTTCAGTAGAGAACGTTGCTCATGCTATGTTATTTTCAAATCCCTTTTATCTTTCTCTCACGATTATCTTGTGTGTTTGTGATATGAAGGTTGGTAAAGGTGCTGTATTTTCTCATTAACAAATAATGAAACAAAAATTTCGGAGCACTGGACTAGGCCTAACAATAATGGAATAATGCAACAAGAAAATCATATCAACTGAATTTGGAGTTGTGTAAACTAACAATGGATAGTACAGTAGAACATCATTTTGATATTTTGAGAAGAAAAGAGCTGACCACATTAAGCCAATGTAAGCAAGATTTAACAAGAATGGATATTTACTTCAACTGGATCTGATGAGACATATCCAACATCGAATATGAGTAGTTTATCACTTTTGAAAGATGCACAGACGACCTGAAATGAAAAGGTAAGACACATAGCAGTGCAAATAGAATATTGAATCGTTTATAACTACAATAAAGCTATTATTAATGAATTTGACAAATCACCAGTCACAAAAAAATGCAGAAGGTTGTAAATCTGAAAGCTTCGTTCGGAAAAGTGTCAAATCATCAGAAGATCCTTGCCTTACAATAGACAAGCTATAACATACAGAGCCATAAAAGATAAAACCAAAACGTTTTACGTGGTGTATGTCGTGGATATCATTTTGAAAGAATCATAGCTTAACAAAAAAATTCATACTAAAATGCTGAGTAAACAGGAAACTTAACAAGTTAATACCTCATCCTGATTAAGAGGATTCCATCTGACAGCATCAAGTTGTCGATTTAGTGAGAGATGCATTAAATGTTTGCTTTCATCTTCTTGCAAGCCTATCATCAAATTAATACAAAGCAGGTAAAAATGACAAGCAACACTTCATTTGAAATTCCTCCCTGTGCAAGGTAACATAATTATAATGCTACGTCAATATCAAGTAGGCAGTATCAAAGCTTGCTAAACACCTTTTTCTTTCCGTTCCAAAGTCACAGAGCAGTAAAAACATGTAAAAAAAAACCAAAACAGTTATTTCTATTAAAAATATAATCATTGAAAAAATAAGAGTTGGACAAATCTGTACAATGGAAGGCTATAACATAGCTAACGGCATATTATTACATTTTCAAAACAAAACATAAAATTCCATGCATCAAGCCAAAACATAAAAACAGGTCTGGTAAGAAAGTTTACCGGGCATTACCTAATAAATTTTATCATTATCTAAGTGAATATTGACTATAAATCACTTCATTTCTCATCAAACAACAAAAACAAAAAGAGACATAGTTTGGTCAAAATATCAAGATTGCTATATGAAGAAAATAAAGCCATAAACATTCTCTAACTAGTCTAACAAATTTGACAAGCACAGAAGCATTTTAATAATAAGCAAGACATAACCACCAAAACAGAACTTACAACTTAACTCGGGTATCTGGCAATAAAGAGCTTCAAAGTCGTGAACTGTTAAGCAACCCGATTTTGTCACAGACACCAAGTATATTCCCTGCGTACGTTTCAAAAAATGGATTGAATATTTGAAATAAAAAAAGCAATGAAAAATAACATTAAATGAAGAGGTTACAAACACAACACGTTAATCAGATAAGTGTTGTGTTTTTTATTAAAACCTTTTAGGTAAATGTATGTGTGTGTGTGTGTGTGCGCGCTACCTTGGTCTTAAACAGATTCTCATTCGAACTAAGCCTTTCAATATTAATTTCTATTTACCTTGTTGTCAAAATCTACTGCAGCGATGCCTTGCCTGTTAACGAACAGAGCAAGTTATTTGTAGAGAAAAATAACGAATGCCAGAAAAAGCAACGCACCACGTGGAAAATTACATGCTAGAAGTCCATGTCACTACCAGCTAATAATTCAATACTTCTCCTAGAAAAACATGAACAAGTTTCAAATACCCTAATCATATCAAAATTTACCAATAAAAGAAAACATATAACCAAAATTAAAAAAAAAAAAGTAAAACATCTTACAATGGAGATCAACCTATGATAAAATGACCATGCAAAGTTTTCCAACTGAAATATCATAAGAATTTGACATGAACATGTTTTGCATTTACCATTATAATCCAACATTTCCAATCATTAAAAACATGCCTTAAAATAAAAATAACTTAGATGTAGAGAGAATCAGTAGTGCTTCATGACGAGAAGTGGGAGCCCCAAAAAATTAATCCAATTTGGTACTACCAAATTATATATGATTACCAAATTTTGGGTTCATCATAAATGTAGTTAACACTACTGACTACACTACTTTCAAATACTGGTCACTTGGAAGCAATACACTTATACAAATTGTCTGGTTATGTAAAATCTGAATTCTTATCCAGCTGATTCCATTTTATTGACTGAATACTTGCTTAAAACTACAAGAATGTCGCTACAACGTTTTAATAGGTCACAACAAATTTCACATGCTTGATATAACAGGTAGTACGAAAAAGGGGGCAGAAAAAAACTTGCATTCGGTCACGCTAACACTGAAGCAACATAAAATATTTGTATTTTTTTTTTCTAATCTTGATTGGTGTCATCAAAATCAAAGTCAGAAGACTAACTTTCTAAATGGAAGATGGCCATCACCACGTGCCTCTCCGACCAATCGATTTGTCTGTACAACATGTTGAACGATTTTTTTATTGAATTAAATCACCGGAGAGTCTATGACCAATAAGCAAAGTTATATGCGCATACATGAGATTGGCATGGGAACCCGTCCACTTCATACAAATGAGGAAACACTGCAACCTTTACACAAATTAAGCGCAACATAAGCAAAACTGTCCACATAAAGAAAAACTGCACAAACAAAAACGTAATAACCAATAAAAGCCAGGCGCACCTCAGAATACGATCGAATTAGCATATCCAGCATCTCATGACGATAGTTACGTTCAAATCTCCCATTTAGTTCAACCGAACTCCTCTTCCATTGCCTCCTACAATAGACAGTTTGAAACAATAAGAGATCTCAAGACCTTTACCTACTAAACGAAAACAAAAATCAGAGGACAAATTTACCTTGGAAGAGGTTGAATCTTCGCCGTCGAGGGTTTAGGCAAAACCAAGTATTTCTCCATTTTTTCGCGCTTCTTTTTTAATGAAGAAGCACTTTCGCATCATTTAACACTATATACTACCCCATCCGCCAAATACTTTCCCGCTAAAAAAATTGGGCCGAGAAACAATGACATAACTCGGCCCAATACAACGCCCAAATCGATGACGAACACTATTTAAGTTTCGGACTTGAAAGATCTAAGAATTTTTCGAGATCATTCTAATTTGTTTTACTGAACTTGTTTAACTCCACACAATTACAAAGGATCAAACAAAAACAATGTCTACGATTAAAACAATAGTACATATTATATACATTAATTATTATATTTTAACAATCAATTATAGTTAATAGTTAAACAAAAACCACAATTATACCTTTGTTTTTTGTATATCAAAACACTAAGGCAAAGGATAAGATGTTCCACATATAAGGTTAAGTTTAAAATGTGAACATTCCACGTAATATTTCTGACATTCGATGGAGATATTTCCCAATTAAGTCACAACTAAACAAGAAGCTTCACACTAAGTTCAACTTCAAATAGCTGACTACAAACAACAACACTACAAAAGCAATTGCTGCTTTGTACATGGTAGAAACAAACCCTAAGCTCTCTCACCCCTAATTCTACGTGCGAGCTGAATGTCTTTGGGCATAATAGTGACTCTCTTGGCATGAATAGCGCAGAGATTGGTATCCTCAAACAGTCCAACGAGGTAGGCCTCAGCAGCTTCCTGCAGAGCGGACACGGCGCTGCTCTGGAAGCGGAGATCGGTTTTGAAATCCTGAGCGATCTCCCTGACCAGCCTCTGGAATGGAAGCTTCCTGATGAGAAGCTCTGTACTCTTCTGGTACTTGCGGATCTCCCTGAGAGCCACTGTCCCGGGTCTGAAACGATGGGGCTTCTTTACACCACCGGTGGCCGGAGCAGACTTACGAGCGGCCTTGGTGGCAAGCTGCTTTCTCGGAGCCTTTCCTCCGGTGGACTTCCTTGCAGTTTGCTTGGTACGAGCCATTTCGAAAGCTGGATGAGAATGAGCAGCGATGCCAAATTATATGAGAAGAGAGTGAAAAATCTGAGTATGAATTTTGGCTGACAGAGATGGAGGGTATTTATAGCACGTTGCGAAAAAAGTTGAGCGGGAAGTTTTCCAAATGTTATTTCAGGTTTGCGAAATTTTGATATGACCGCGGGAATATGAGCGTTGATGAGGATGGGAATCAACGGATGCGGTGATTCCTCAGCCGATGCCACAGATTGTAATCCGAGACACTCTTTAAGATCCAATAGGTGCATGCCACGTCTTATCATTTTTTTTTAATACTTGACTTCAATTCATTATTTTATTTTTCTTTTCTCTTTTTATTTGTTAGTGAGAACAAATATAATTTATATATTTGAGGTTTGAATTATGGTTAAAATTTTAAATATAAAACTGTCCAAATTATAATAAATATATTTCTATTTAAATATTGTATGAAAGTTATGAAAATAAAAATTAAGACGTAAGTAAAAAAATAAAGTGAGGATATTCGATAATTTTAGAATATGTAATGTTCTTTCCACCATTAGTATTTAAACATTATTTTAAATATAATATCAACTTAGAATTGATTTAATATTAAAATAAATTTTATTTTTGTTATTAATTAGGTAAAAAAATTAAAGATTAAAAATAAAAGTGGATTAAAACTCTAATCCCAACTTTACTTATAATGTCAATGTTTTATTTTAAAATAATAGTTCTCAATTTCATATTCACAGTTATAATATAATTAAGATTAATCAACCTATTTTATATATTGTTTTTTTTTTACTTTAATTCAACGTGTTTTTCCTAAAGTCTTAATAAGTTAAGAAAAAAATTATATATATAAATTATTATTAATTTCATTTTTATAATTATGTCACCAAATCTTATTATTGTGGTAAGTTTGAGAGTGGTAAGTTTGAGAGTTTTTTAAGTTTTTAGAATATAAAACTATAAAATTAAAGTAAGGAAACAAATAGATAAATGAACTATATTGTGATGGTGATTTAATGAGACTTATTTTTTTAAGTATATTTTCGTATAAGGGAATAATTTTTTTCTCATGTAAAATAGTTTCACTAAAAATAAAATTTTCCAAAAAATAAAATTTTTTCGAAGATTTTATACCAAATAAAATGTTTTTCACTCAACCAAATTTTTTGAGAAAATTAACGTATTTTCTATCTAAATTCTACAAATTATAAAAAGATAGTTTTAAATTCAAATTAAACTATAGAAATTTAAGTTTTATTTATAATCTGATAAAATAAAAATTAATAAAAAAATAATATCTTTGAATGAAAAGATTAAATTAAAAAGATATTTTGTTGTAATGTGATAAAGGTTTTTACTTGCCTTCATATGTATATAATATATTGATTTAAGTTAATATAATAATCTGTCATATTTTTTATTTTATTTTATTTTATTATTTTTAAATAAATTTTTTAATAGATTTAATAATAAAATTATTATTATCAATAATTTAATATATATATATATATATATATATATATTTCAAGTTAATAATATAATTTGATATATTATTTTAATAAATTATATTTTAGAACCATTAAATTAAGATAAAATTTATATAAATAAATACATATATGTAAATGTAAAAATTTATTAAATTTTTTATTTTTTATATTAAAAAGTTTAAACATTTAAATGAAAATTATATTATATTTATTTATTTATTTAGATAAAATTTCATTAACAACATCATCAAAACTACAATTAAGTTTACTAATTGAACCATCCATCTTTTGTTAAAACAAAAAACTTTATAAATTTTTTTTACTCGGACATTTCAACAAAAGCACAAATAGAAAAATATAATAAATGAGTCATGAGATAAAAATACTAAGAGAAAAAATAAAACCTTAAGAAAGTAATAAATATAAAAAAGAGTAAAAAAGTATGAGATATATATGATTTTTACCTTATGAAAAAAAGATGAACAAAAAAGAGATGATAAGTAAGAGGAGATGAAAGAGAGGGGTTTGTGTTTGAGAAATGAAAGTGTTTTCGTAATGTGAGTTTAAGTAATTATAAAACTTTTTGAAGTAGTGAGATAGTGATACTTTTAGAATTCTCTTTTTCATAAACATTTATATTATATATTGTTTTTCTAACTTTTTGTATTAAATCACAATAAAAAATTTTCTAATAAAGCGGACTTGGCGGAACGAGTCAAAACGGGTTAAAAGTACTAACCCGCTCCGTCAGTATTATGAAAGGTCGGTGGATCGGACCACCAAATTTGACCTGTTTTGACATCCCCAATTTTTAAAAAGAAAATATTATGTTAAATTTTGAATAGGGATAGTAGTCCGCTTTAAAATGATGCAAGTAGGTTGATTATTTTAACTTTAGGTGGTCTGACTTGTTTTAAAAAATATTTATACATTGAAATAAATAAAAAATGTATAATAAAAAATATTATAAATTTTGGTGTTATATTATTGAAATATATAAATATATTATAGTATCATAATTTAAATTATAAAAATTAATTAATTAAATTTAAATTATTAATTATAATCATTTATTTTAACACATAAATATAATAATTATTTTAATTTATCTAATAAAAATATTAATTAATAAATAAAAATAATAAATTTCCATTAAAGGTATATTAAAAAAAACATATAAAAAAATCCGTCAATCCATTATTTGAGGACACGAGCTAGAGACTGTAGCTTGTTTTGACTATGATGGGTCAGCTTGCGACCACCTTGTTTTTTATGGGGCCTATTTTATCATATTAAATATAAGGAATATATTGAATTTGAGATTTTTAACTGAGATGACAAAACACGTTTTCATCCTTCAACCCACTATAAATATGACATAATGAATTAATATTTTCTGCTCATCACACTAGTGCAAAAATGGGCTTTTACGTCGGGTATTTAGGGCTTTTTACGTCGTATTTAAGTCCGACGTTAAAGCGGGAGACGTAAATTTACGTCGGATCTTTTGCCCGACGTAGATTTACGTCAGTTATCAAGATCCGACGTAGATTTACACTAAACAGACGTAAAAACCTTTTCAATTTAAAAAAAAAAACAGAAAATTTACGTCGCATATGGTATACGCGACGTAAATTTACGTCACATATACCAATACGCGACGTAAATTTACGTCGCGTATACCATATGCGACGTAAATTTACGTCGCATATACCAATATGCGACACAAATTTACTGTTTTTTTTTTTAAATTGGGTTTATTTATTCTGTTTTACAACTAAAACCTGCAAATATTACAACCAGACAGTCCAGAGGTTCAGTTTTCTTTAGCTAGTAAATTAAAAATATAATATTATATAATTCAAACTACATAATAAAACAATATAATACAAACATACAAACTAAAAAATCTATTACAAACTAAGCTACCTATACAAACTAAACTAAACTACATAATACACACAATATAATATGAACAAGAACTTAAAAAATAATGTACTAGAATTGTTGAACAAAAAATTTTGCCCATTGTTCTCTAATTTACGTAATCTCGGATTCTGGTAATGGAGATGGATCTTGAAATACCCGAAACATGAATTTGACTCTTGTAAGCATGCAACATGAATAAAGTTAAATAAACTTAACTAATGTTAAAAGTAATTACCTCCGTCCAAGAATCAATTAAACCCGCACAAACTATGGCTCTCATCCAATACATTACATAGTAACCACATTCAAACGAGTCAGTTTGCTTATTACACTGAACACTTCCTTTCATGCATATCTTGTTAAGCAGCTCTTAGTAACTGATACCTCCTACAGGAGAAACACGAACGTCTTCAGACTTAATCAAAAAGCATATACTGTAATTGACATTGTTTTGGATTAAAAAAGAAGAACATAGCAACCTATCTTTCTCAAGTTTTTTTCTTCAGCGTCATGTTTATCCCTCTTCAGATAATACACCAATGAGCGATTCTTGATCATTGTTTAACTCTTCAGTCTCTTTTTCTGCATAATTGAGCTGGTGAAGAAAAGAAGTAAGAAACTTGCAACTGAATTTAAACAAGGACAGAAGAAACTTTATGGGTCGGATAAATTCAGCAAGTATATAATATTCGATCAAATCTGGATCAATTGAATAGTCTACATTTTATTTATTTTTCATTCACAATGTTATAGACAGGAAATGTACAAATGAGAAGTCTTAAGGATGGAAAAATGTCATATATGATACACTAAATTTGCGTGGGATAGACTTCAAATCTGATAAACATAGAATATACGATTACAAATACCGTATCATGCCATGATTCTACATGATTAATTTTTTCCATATTTAGCTTGGCATGACAGCGATGCACAGTGATGCACATTAATGTCATATCTGTTAATAGACAAATTTAGGATACCGACTATAATGGTTAGCGTAATTATAGCCTAGAATGTTTCTGTATTTCATGTATATATTGTGCTATCATATTCAATACAAGACAGGGGTTTTTGGAAATATTTTTATCATGGTATCGGAGCGAACCAAACTCGATATCCAACGACTCGAGAACACGATCGTACTTCTAAAATGGCAGAGAGAGGAGAGACGGTGAAGAAAACACCATCGCCATACGATCTGAGTGCCGGTGATAATCCTGGAAATGTGATTACACGGTACAATTACGAGGAGAGAATTACGAGGAATGGGCAAGGGCCGTGAAGATATCTCTGCGGGCTCGAAGGAAATGGGGTTTCATAGATGGAACTCATAAGGAACCTGAAGAAGACACATCCGAGATAGAAGATTGGTGGACAATTCAATCGATGCTTGTATCTTGGATACTAAACACTATAGAACCTAGTTTGCGTTCCACTCGTTGCATACATGGAAAACGCAAAGGACCTATGGGATGACATCAAGGAACGATTCTCGATCGTGAACGGACCAAGAATCCAGCGACTAAAGTCGAGTTGGCGGAATGCAAACAACAAGGAATGACTATGGTTTTCTATTATGGGAAGTTGAAAACGTTGTGGGATGAACTGGCAAATTATGAGCAAATCTCACAGTGTAGATGTGGGGGATGCAAGTGTAATATTATGACGCAACTTGAGAAACAAAGAGAAGAAGAAAAAATTCATCAGTTCTTGATGGGGCTAGATGATGAGGGCTATGGAACTGCACTGTCAAATGTTTTGGCAACAGATCCATTACCCTCGTTGAATCGGGTGTATGGCACCATGGTGCAAGAAGAAAGGGTGAGAACAATCACCAGGTCTAAAGAAGAGCGATGAATGATCGTGGGAATGGCTATGCGAGCGGAAACCAGGAACAAGTTGCGCAATGAAGCGAAAGAAAAATCGAGTTGTTTGCATGCAGTGTGGAAGGAAGGGACATGACAAAGGCAATTGCTTCAAGATCATTGGTTACCCGGAATGGTGGGGAGAGAGACCACGAACCGATAAAAACGATGAAAAAAATCAACAAAGAACAGGAACCTTCCGAGGAAAAGGAGGAACGACTCGCGTCAATATGGCACACACTCGGTGCGGATAACGTTGGTTCAACCGAAAAACCGAAGTCGCGGGATCGAGTAATGAGCAATGGCGAGATCTTGACAAGCAATGTTGAATTCTCGCAAGGCAAATGAAACTGAAAAGATGGCTGGTAAGAAAGCATGTGACTTGTGGATTATTGATAGTGGCGCCTCTAATCATATGACAGGAACACTAGAAAACTTGAGGGAGAGTCGAGCCTTGGAAGGGTGCCCAGTGGGACTACCAAATGGTGAATTGGTGCTTGGCAAACAAAGAAGGATCGGTTTTCCTTGATGGAGGACTGAAACTTAAACATGTTCTATATGTTCCGAAATTGAATTGCAATTTGATTTCGAGTATCACGATTGATGAATGAAGTAAAATGTACAGTACATTTTATCGATAGATTTTGTGCAATGCGGGACCACACTTCGAGGATGCTTGATTGGTGCGGGTGAACGAAAAGAGGGACTCTATTGGTATCGTGGTGTGAGTGGCATAAAGGCGTATCGGACCAATGCGAGAAAATCAACTAGAGATTTGGCACAAGCGAATGGGACATCCTGCCTACGCAGTTGTTAGAAAAATTCCGCATCCGAACAGCGTGAATAGAAATACGGATACAACTCGTGTGTGTGAAGTGTGTGAGAGATCAAAGCAATGCAGAAACACATTTCCTTTAAGTGATTTTCAAGCATCCAATATATTTGATTTAATACATTGTGATGTATGGGGTCCATATAGAACTCCCTCGTCTTGTGGTGCATCTTACTTTCTCACTTTGGTTGATGACTTGTTCTCGAGCTGTGTGGATATATCTCTTGAATAATAAGAAAGATGTGTCACAAACCTTAATGCATTTCATCGCCTTAATAGAACGACAATACGAGAAACAAGTCAAAATATTACGAAGTGACAATGGAGCCGAGTTTATGTGTCTTCAACGATATTTTCAGCAACATGGGATACTCCATCAAACCTCATGCACTTGGAACACCTCAGCAAAATGGGAGAGCCGAACGAAAACATCGACACATCCTAAATGTAGCTCGTGCTCTACGATTTCAGGGAGAACTTCCACTTCAATTCGGGGAGAATGCATTTTGACCGCGAGGATACTTGATCAATCGTACACCCTCAACCGTTCTCCATGGAAAAACTCCATATGAAATATTGAATGGGAAGCCACCCACTTATGACCATCTACGGGTATTTGGATGCTTGTGTTATGCACATAACCAAGATAGGAAAGGTGACAAATTTGCAAGTAGAAGTCGCAAGAATGTATTTGTTGGATATTCAATCGAAAAAAAGGGCTGGAAATTGTTTGATCTGGAAAGAGAAGTCTTTTGGACTTCGAGAGATGTTAAGTTTGTAGAACATGAATTCCCGTTTGCCTCTCTTGCCCACAGTAGACATTCAGAGGTAGGATTGCCTCATCGTTGATGTTGGCATTGTCGAGGAAGCATTGCCTGGACTTGGTGCAATGAACAATGCGGAACACGTTGTGGAGACCGATGACGTTAACCCCACAACGAAGATGTGCCCACAGCTGAGTTCGGGGAGGGTCACGCTGAATGCCATGAACAAGAGCCTCCCACCCGGATCGTTCTCCCACCAGAACAAGCCGACTCTATGATGACGGAACTAGAGGTTCTTGAGGAGCATACTGTCCCTGCATCCCTGGGGAAAGGTCTTCGTGTACGAAAGCCATCTCGTGAAGCTTCGTGATTATGTCACTAACACCACTTTACAACTCTGGTCCCTCAATTCGCACTCCACATTCGGCTTCCTCGGGTATGCCTTACGGTTTGACAAAGTACTTAAATTGTGCTAAATTCTCCTTCCCCCATCGAACCTTTCTTGCAGCCCTTCATGCAGAGAGAGAACCTGTGCATTTCTTTGAAGCTCGTTCGGGATGTTAGATGGAGAGATGCCATGGCTAGTGAAATTCAGGCCCTCCAAAGTAATGAAACATGGGACATTACTCCTCTACCTAGCGAGGAAGAAGCCTCCGGGTTGCAAGTGGATTTATAAAATCAAATATCATTCTGATGGGAGCGTTGAACGCTTCAAAGCCCGATTAGTTGTCTTGGAAAATCACCAAGTTGAGGGGATTGACTATGACGAGACTTTTGCCCCGATGGCAAAGATGGTCACCATTCGGACAGTGTTGGCGAGTGGCGGTAGCCAAAGACTGGGAACTTCATCAAATGGATGTCCATAATGCTTTTCTGCACGGCGATCTTGAGGAAGATGTGTACATGAAAATGCCGCCAGGGTTCTTGGTGTCTCAAAAGGGTATGGTGTGTCGTCTCCGCAAGTCCCTTTATGGTCTTCGTCAAGCTCCTCGGTGTTGGTTTGCCAAGCTCTCAACTGCTCTTGTTCAATATGGGTTTCAACGTTCTTGGAAATATTTTTATCAAAATCACATTGGTATAGTGGTTCCTTACCATCCTTTACATCTTTTCCTTGCAATTCAACGTCAACTTCTTTAAGGGATATTTTCAAACAACAAAATAAGAAAACAATTTATAAACTGAAAGTATTTTAGACTCCTAGTCATCACCATAACTCAAAATTTAGAAGCAATTTTCCGTAATCAATTATAACAGCACTCATTTTGGAACGCGTAAATTAAAATCATCAACCACTTGCTGGTTTGGACATTTTTGGAAACAATAATTCAAGTTCCAATGCATGGATATATACTATCAGAAAAATAGAGAATTGGAACAAAGTGATATAATTAAAGATGATGATGTGAATACCTTCAGCAAATAATGCGATTCCATTGAACCCCACTCTTAAAGAGGGAGGCATGGGAGGAGTTGGAAAGACAAGCAGGAGAGTGAATAAAAAAATCCAAACCCCTTTGAAGAAGGTCTTGGGCGTGGAAGGGAGAGAAGGGTGCAAGAACCCCATGCACGGCTAGTTGCTCTCCAAGGGTTAGGGTTTGATATCAACACGTTGTTAATCTCGACGGAGTTTCGTGCACGGTCAACTTTGGTGAGGGAGATGTTTTTGTGGCAAAGGAGAGTTGTGAGGCAGGTTCCTTGGGACATGTTGAGGAGGTCGTGGAAGGAGAAGGGGTTGTAGGTGGTGGTGTGGTAGAGGAGGAGGGTTTTGAGGAACCAAAAAGGATGTGAGGTGTTTCTGATTGCTGAGTCTCTGATGGCGAAGATGGTTGAGTTTTGGGCGGTTTGAAGAATGAAGGAGAGTGGTGGAGAAGGTCTCGCCATGAGTATGAACCCCGCTCTTCGGAGAGCCTTGGAAGCATTCGAGTGAGAGGTCATGGGGTATGGGCGTGGCTTCTTGTGTTGAGTTCTTGGAATCGGATGAACGCATTGCTGAGGATATGGCAATGATTCCGAGGGCTATTGAGGCTGCCATGTAGAGTGGGAACCAACACCAACGGGAATAAGCCATGCACAGAAGAACATGAACGTGTCATGCACAGCACTGGAAGAAAGAATGAGTGGAAGAAAGAAACGAGTCAGTTTGCTCAAAGGTAAAAAGCTAAGGCTTTTTACGTCGCGCCCCCAGTAAGCGACGTAAAAGAGGCTTTTTACGTCGCGTACTGGGACGTGCGATGTAAAATTTTTGTCCCATATTTACAAAATTGCCACCACGTTTTATTTACGTCAAATATACATGCATGCGACGACAATTGGGTGACGTAAAAGTCTTATTCTGCACCAGTGTCAGTCCGCTCTCTCCCATCGTGTAAAGCTTACTAACTCGTTGGGCCACCCCGTGGGATGGGGCGAGATAGCCCGCAACCCACTTGGTTGATAAAAAATATTATATTTAAAGTGAAAGTTTATGAAAAAAAGATAATTAAAAAAATTTCATCCTCATTCACTTACTAGTGTAAACATTTTCCTTTCTCAAGTATAAGTTCTTATGTGTGTTCTCTTTGATGTGCTCTGATACGGAAGAATCAAAATATTAAACATCTCTAACGTTATTTTTCTTTTCTGTATTACATATTTCCTTCCACAAATTAGAATCTTGCTAATAATCTGTATTCATGTCAAGATCTGTAAATAGAAAATCTAGGGAAAAAATGAAAAAAAAATACGCTTTTTTCATTTACAACAAAATGGTTCGAATCCAAAATAGAAAAAGAAATGGTTTGACAGAAACAGTCCGTAAAAATATTTATACTGTACACCCCTTTCCCTGGGATTGTAGTTCAATTGATCGAAGCACCGCTCATGAACATTGATTCTTCCTATCTTCATTACTTGAATTAAATGAATGATAGTTATTCAAAAGAAAAACAACATGAAGTTTTATTAAATAAAAAAGATATAATGTAACTTTTGTTTTTAAGTATTTGAATTTCTCAATATAAAAAATATAGATTTTACAAATTTTAGCATTACTTACATATATTTGTTATTATTTATTATTATATAAAATTTATCTTAATTTAATTATTCTAAATTATGATTTCTTAATACAATGTGTCAATTTATATTATTTATATTATTAACTTGAATTATACACGTTTAATTATTGAAAAAAAAATTTATTATAACTTATTGAAAAATTTGATTTAAAAGAGATAAATAAATTAATTTTAAGAAAAATTATGACTAGTGTGACCCAAGATTTACAACTATGTTAAAATATGTTTACCCCATTGAGTAGACCGAAAAAGTTTAAAAAATAGATTAGGTTAGATAAACAAATATTTAACTTAAATTGAATCATACTTATTTTGAACGATCCCTTTAAACCATAATTTACATAAGTTTAGGTCAGGTTAGTCCAAAAACTTCGGTATAGTTTGTTTTATAAAATGGTCATTATTTTTTAAATAAAATAATATTGTTTTGATAAAAATATAAATGTATTATAAATTAATTTAATAAAAAATTTACTTATTTTAAGAATAATACGAGAATAAATTTTTAATATTCACTTATTTCAAAATGAAATAGTTAAAACTAAATATTATTTTAGATTAATAAATTATAAAAATAAGAATAATTTTAAGTTTTTAACTTATTAGATTTAATAAATTGATTATCTTATAGTTTTATATATTAAATATTTATATTTTAAATAAAAAAAATTATTAAAATAATTTAAAGTTATTAAAAATATATTTTTTATTTTATTTTTATTTAAATATTTTAAATAAATAAAAATTATGATGAATTTTAAAATATAAATTAATTTAAATTATTCCATAAACCAGTTTAAACTACCGCTCTAATTAATCTACATTGATATAGATGTCATTTTAGGATATTTACTTCTTGAATATACCTTATTTTATAAATCTTGAAATCAACTTAATAGGTTGACGTCAAATCACTGCCTTGTTTGAAATTTGGAATAGATATATGTAGTTGGTTGGCGATTTTTTATTCTTGGTACTGTTTTCTTTTTTATAATTTCTTAGTTGTTGGTTTATAAAGATTAGACGAGGAAAGAATTCATCACTCAGGAGTTCATGTTATTGATTAGTATTCAGAATTAAAAAATTGAAGATATTATTTATTTGTGTATATTAAATTTTAATAAATAATTAATTACATTATAATTAAAAAATTAATCAGGTGAGTGACTACATATACAATATAATAATTGAAAAATGAATTTGATTAAGTACCTAACTTTTTGAAGTTTTTTTTTTGGTGTTTTTAAAAAATTAAAACACATGTTTGTTGATACATTTTATAAACTTTATTTATTTAATACTGATGCAAAAATTATATTTAAATCATTAATAGACTAAGTTGGTCATATACTTCTTCAATTTTTTTAACTATTTTTTTATTTGTATTAATTTTATGATTTTTATTATTTATTTATTTATTTGTATTAAATTTTCAATGTGTAGTTAGTTGGGCCAAGAGTGGTCTGACTATTCATTAGGCCGAAATACACGAATTATTCGTTTGGAGTAGAATTGTCTCTCATCTAAAATATCTATTTGGTTTAAATCTAAAATTTTACTATCCAATATTTAAATAGAAGATAATATTACCATACCAAGTCAATTACAATGCATGATATTAAACTTTTTATTTTTGTAATTTTATAAAATTTTATATGGTGAGGTAAAAAGTAATTAATTATATATTTAATTACTTTCTTCAAAATTTCATTTAATTTTTTGAGTTAAATTTTTATAAAATTAATTATAATTTTTCATGAACTATACAATAAAAATATACTTATATAAAAGTCAATTATAAGTAGATTTGTCTACAAATTTTTAATTTGTGACAAATATGTATAATCTATTTGTTTTAACCATATAATTCATTAATTATACAATCGAGTCATTTTAGAATATGTACAAAGACCCACGCAATGCACATAGATAAACAAATTAGTATATTTCAAAGATGTCCCTTTTATAAACAGAATGCAGAAAGAAATATATATATATATATATATATATATATATATATATATATATATATATTTTAAGAAATTAAGTTGACCTTTTATTAAGATTTGAGGTGTGAATATGTGATACATCAAAAACAATAATTAATCAATGTTTTTATTGTTAATCCTTGATAATAATTTGATGGCAGTTGTTAGCATGTGTGATGATAATAATAAAAAAGCCACTAAAGAAGGTATTGGCATTACCCATATGACAATTGACAAGGCCTATCATATAATCAAATATTGACAGAATATATGATTAACAAACATTAATGAATGCAGCGGACATTGTAGGCTCCGTCGAACCAATCCTTTCATATATATACTTCATTAGTTGTTTCGAAAACTCCTAGGTATTATTTATGTCGTAGTCACCACCAGAGAAAGCTAGAGTGAACAAAATCCTTGAATGTGATAATAAGTAGTCACGTTCATATGAAAGAAAAAAAAAATGTGATTTCAACTAGCAATTCTTGAATATTTACTCATTTCTATGAACAAACTAGGAAGAAAAACCAGCTCTCAACTCTAACAAAAGGCCCGAATATAGAAGCAATGCAATATATGTGTTATTCTTTATGCACAACAGGTGAACAGACTCAAAAAGAAACAAGATGGAAAAAGTTTCTATGATGTATGTTACTTAGTATAAATATTAATATCATACCATATCATACCCAGTTGTTGGACATGGAGAAGTTGTTGAATCTGAATGAGAGATCCCCAGCTGTGTCTCTCTCAAGCTGCATTGGCTGGGATTCATCACTGCTGACACTACCACCTGCATCAGATTCAGATCCTTCATGGGTCAATGGCTGAATTTGGTTCTCATTTGGACGGCGTGCCCTTTGGGGTGGTAACACTGATGTAGACATGTTACTCAATCTTGTACTTTCTACACTTGAAGAGGCCAATGGTCGGTGCCAAAGGAAGACATGCAGGAGAATAGGAACTTTGGTGTGTCTATGCAAGGAGAGTTTCTGGCTCAATGAAACAGTGTCATAACACCTAATGGCCCCTGTTGAAGATACCATCCATGGAAGGACTCTCTGATTTGAAAGCCTAGACACTACCAACAACCTTGAAGTATCTGCTGCTGCTTTATACAGATTGCTCAGTCCTGAACGTGTGGCTGCTACATTTTCTTTACCATCATCAATAACTTTTGAGATGAAAATAAAACCCTGTTGATCACATGGAAAAGTATTATTATATAACCTAAAGCCTAAAACCAACAATGAATCAATCTGTTAAACTGTATAAGGTCTTGCTGGCTTGACTCAGATATACCTCTTCTGTTCGACTGATGGCAAAGCCAAGCTTTGTGTCATCCTCTTTTAGTTTTATCTCAATCGAGAACTCTCCTCCAATTGGAGCATACCAGAGCCTAACTGCTCTAACAACACCAATGTCTACTCCATGATAATCCTCAAAGCCATAAAGGCTTACATTTGCAAGGTTAGATAAGTCAGATAATGATCCTGCATTTACAGTGGAAGAAGCTGTCTCTCCGGAGATCTTTCACACAAATAAAAGAGAAACTCCAGTCACCACAATGCCGAAAAAAAGCATTCAACAACAACAAAATTAATCTCTCAAACTATAATTGCAATGTTTGTCAGCTTCCAAGCAAACACATGATGGTAAACATTGTAAACAGTGCCTTTCCTAGTGTAGAAAAATACTGCACTGTAATTCCTACTTCAAAATTTTCACATGATGTCGCCTGAATTAATCATTAAAACTTTAGTTTTAAACGGACTTGAATAGCATTATATGATTCTTGTAGCCAATATTGTGATAAAACTCTACAGTTGTTGATGTTACATAAATTAATCATGTTCTATAACGGCCTGAAGCGGAAATTGAACCTTTTTAGTAGGGGGGAAGAACTAGAGTAACAATTTAGTTAGGTATTGTTGGTGATATTCTAGAGATGAAGTTGATATAATACTTTTTGTAAGACTCTACAAAATATTTAGAATATTATATCAGTTATAAATATAAATTACCACGTCAAATACAATTCAATACTCTTAAAAATTCTTCAAAGAATATAATCTCCATTAACCAACATGACATTATTCAACAGGATCATATAAAATGGAATTTAAAAATGTAACTCATGGATTAGTACTCTAAAAGTTTTAGTGCTAAAATAAGAGAGGCCCGATATCAGTTTGTGCACATCAAGTGACCAGTTGGAAAACAATGTTATGGTAACAGTGCTTTGTTGCAACGAGGGAGTAGATCATTTACCTTAGTAAGTAGGGACTCTGTTTGGACATTCATAAAGACAATAGGGACCCCTGAAGCTTGAGCTGCATTCAGCCACGTGTTTGCCCTGGCTAGTGTGTCTTCCACATCATTGTAGCGAGAAGCTATTCGATCAGAAACTTTGGGAAGAAGTAATATGGAAAGAAAATTGCTAGAATTGGGAACTGATAGTAACTCCTGCATCCTCCTCTCCCATGGATACGAGACATATCCATCCTGTAACCGTGTCCTAGTTAGCGCATTTACCATTCTGGTGGTTCTTGATGCTGCAAAGTGCAATTATTATTAACAGAGATGAAGACATATATCGGAAAGTGTTAAGTCAAAAATCTACATTTTCCACAACTAGACTCCACGCTTAAAACAAAAAGCATAACAGAATACCATTATGAAAGGTTGATTTTCGCCGACCCTAATGGCTATCATGTACGTAGTAATGTCTATTATTCCATATTACAGCCGTAAACAACAATGACCACAATTTTTTTTTTTACTTTGCATCTCTTTTAACTATGTGAAAAAACCTGGTTTTAAAATGATCTACTATTACGAAAAGGGCACTACTACGATAGTGTCGACATCATTGACAGAAGGACGTCATGTGTGTCACGCAACTTGATGCCTAAATCTAGCAATAGTTGCAGCTTTCAGATTAGAAATTAGTGCCTCAAATATCTTCAAATGGATATTCATTCCACCGAACAAGTCGTGCCAAAAAGCAGTTAATGTGAAAGCCAAAATGGCTTAGATCTCTATGATAAAAGTGGAAAGAGTTGCCACTCAGATTTGTGTGAAATTGTAAGTACCAATAAATATTTCAACTTTTGTTTCTTTGTTTTGTCTTTCTAAATTAAAATAACAGTTTAGCAGTAAAATTTTCTCAACCAGAACCAAAATGTTTACCACAGGTCACTGCCAGCATAACCAGAATAAGACAAGAACACCCTTCACCCCTTCTTTCTCTCTATCCTATCATCTTTATTGTACTTAATAAACTAAATAATCAATATATAAATAACAGAACATTGCGCAATAAATGAACACATCTACCTACTCTTCATCCATTCAATTAAACTTGGGAAGTTGGGAACGAACACCTAACTTAATTTTCCGTTCATATTTTTTTTTTTTTTTTGTAAGTTTGCAGATTTAGTTAGCTAATTAAGCGTGCTCTCAACTCATGGGAATTCTTAGGATTAACCGAACTCAACTACGAGCATGTCGCAAGTAACAAAGAGAAGGTGAAAAACAAAAAAGTACGTAAGGTCAAAAAGGTCAACGAAAAGGGTACCTTGGAGTTGGAAACACTCGGTTTCAGTTCGATCGAAGAACCCAACGACGTAGTTAGGGTCGGTGATGGAACGGAGAACGTATTGCTTCTTCCCGGAGGAATCGCTGGGAACGATACAGGCCTGCAACTCAGCGAACTCGTGGGGACCGCGTCGAACTCGAACGAGGATGGAGGTTTCTTTCTTCTTGTAAGAGTCCTGGAGGATTTTGTTGACGGCGGTTTTGCCGTTTTTGAAGGGCGATTTGAAACGGATAAGGGCGGTGGGGGAGGCTCCGATTCGAAGCTCTTCGACGATGTCACCGGTTTGAAGCATGTCACCGGTCCACTCGTCAGCTTTGGAACTTCCCTTCAAACACTCAATGGACAACACTTTAGGGTCTCGGTTTGGTGAGTCTGAACTGCTCTGAGATAACCGGTCCATGGTCATGTTGCGTGTGATTAACACTTTTTCTTCTTCTTTAAGTATTCACTACTTGGTGTGCATGTGTGTGTGTTTGTATGATCACACAACAACCCACTTTGAGAGGAAAAAAAGAAGAAGGCCGTGTTTTTTGACAGAAAACGCCCTTTATATTGCAGAGAGAGGTTTGAGATTTTGGTTCTGTTGTGGTGGTTTATGTGTTGTGTGTTAATTATTAAAGTATGGTACGTATCATTGTGTAGAAACCAAATCTTGAACAAGAGATTGAAAAATTAGGAGACGTCCAATAGTACTCCATCCTATTTAAATAATAGTTTTAGAAGTAATTTTTTTTCTAATATATAGTATAATTTCCATTAAAAGTATAATAATAGTTAAAAAGTTAAAGATATTTTATTTAGTGTTATAAGAATTTATAAAGTAGAGATTTTTTTTTTCTTTTTTTGATGATGAAGAGGTTGAATGAAAGAAATTCCACAAAATAGAAAGACATTGGCACGATGGTTGCTGAAAAGTCAACCAAACTTCTAGTTAGTAAATGTGAACGCTAGTTTCCAGATTTTATATTTGGGATTAATAGGTCGTCTTAATTATAAAAGTTTAGTTAAAAGATTGATTATTGGATGGCAGCATTGATTAACATAAAAGTACAGTGAGAGGGTGACCGTTTATTTTTCTATCATGTACAAACTCAGGAAAGCTAGGCCTCGTTACTTATCATCTTTTTTTATCCATTTTAATTAACTAATTACATGTGATGGTTTCAATTCTACCATTTGATGTTGTACACTTTTTTTTTCAAACTATGCATAGTTATTCTTGTTCATTTTATATGGTTCGACTTTTTCTATCTACCTAGTAGGAATATTAAACAATATTCTTTAAAAGAATAAATAAAATGTCAAACAAATATAGGAATAAAATAAAATTACATTTCTAATTAAAAAAATCTTTTAATTTGTAAAAAAAAAATGGAAATCATTTACACTTGCTTCTGTGTTTTTGAAAGCGGAGTAACCAAAAAATTGAAATATTAATCCTTGAGTTAGCACTTTATTCTTTGATTTTATTTTTAACCATCAAAGTGATAACGATATTAACATAAAACTAAAAAATATGGTAATATAAATATACAGTATATTTATATCGGAGTCTAAATTTAACAAAAATGTATAAAAAATTATATACATCATTAACAAAAAGAAAATAAAAATATATAAAGCATGTAAATTTTTTTCCCTCATTATTTCTCTCGTACTATCACTCTTGAATATTCACGCGAAACATTGTATCTTTTTGTATTTTGATACGATTATCACATTTAATATAATATATAAAAACATAGATAGGATATACTAGTATTTCAATGTGCATGTTTCAAAATGTATTTTCAATATAACATCAACTTAATCTCCATCACAAATAAATTTTATCAAATTTACAATTTTACATAATTAAATTAAAATAGTTAACTATATGATCGATCAGTCTTTTACTCTATTTTTAAAAGATGAATGTATTGAATTAGACTAAATATATATGATACATTATTTTTCCTAGATTGATAAATATAATAAAAGTATATAACTAAAATACATTATCTTATCTAACAAATTAATATTTATAACTTAAGAGATAAATTTTTTTATATAGCAAGTTATGTCATAAAAATCTCATTCAACTTTTATTACTTAATATTTCTTTGTATAAATCTAATATCAATAAAGTTAGGATATCTTATATAGAATCTTTCATTCAATACAAAACATGTATCTTAGTATAATATTCTCTTCTTAAAGATAATCATGTTCACCTCCACACTAATTTTCATCAAATGTATACGTGTCATTCGACACATGTATCATTTTAAAATCTACACATATATGCAAAACTATAAAAAATAATCAAACACATAGAATTTTGGAACTTCAAATTATTCACCATCATAAGAAATGTCACTAGACTAACATTCCTCTTAAAATTCTTGTTTCTCCTAAGTAAATTTTTTGTTTAAGTGGTGTAAGAAGATATCTCAATATTCATTTATTTTGTAAAAATAAGTTTCTATCATGTATAAAGATGTGTTGTATGAGCTACCTGTTATTAGGATGCCTTTAGCATATACTAAAATATAGGTGATGAACTTGAGTGTAGTATGCATAAAAAGAGATGTATCACATATAATAGCCTTAAAACCGAAGGAAATTAAATTGGATGCAAGCTTAGAAAACAAAGATCTTTGTGCCTACTTCAGCCTGTAGAGAGATTTCTTCAATTTACAAACAAGATGAGGATTAAAAGAGATGAAGCTCTCTGATTGCCACATATATACTTCCTCTTGAATGGAACCATTTAGGAAAGTGTTGTTGACATCCACCTATCGTATATGTCATTTTCTTGTGACAACAATACTCAAGACTGTTCGAATGGTTGTTGGTTTGATGATAGGACTGAATGTCTTCATATAATGAAGGCCCGATCGTTAAGAACACCCCTGAGCTCCAATTTAGCTTTATGTGTGGCGATAAAATCATCAACGTTGTATTTCAGTCGGTATAGCCATTTAAAACCAATGGCCTTCCTATGAGGAGGCAAATGAACATGATCCCATGTTTTATTTTGCATGAGAGCCATATATTCTTCCTCCATTACAACTAACAATTTGGGATCTCATAATGCATCCTTGGTACACCAGGGAGTGAGCTTTCTTAGTAAAGCTTTGAGTTTAAAGACATCAGCTTTAACGCAGGTAGTCACAGGATGAACATTTGTGGTAAGAGGAGGATGAGAAGGTTGGTCACGTAAAGAGTTGACAAGTTCATGAAAAGTAAGATTGATATTTGGTGGTAATGAGTAAGGAATAGGAGATGGAGTAGGAATATAGGTAAGGAAATGATGGGTCAAGTGGTGTTTGATTGGGATGAATGAGAGTATTAATTTGTGGTATAGAGGAAGGGAAACAAATGATATTTTAATATTGAGTAAAGAATGATGGGTTGATTATCATAGGATATTGGGTTTCATCTAATATGATGAGTCTGACAATGTACTCTTTTCCAAATTTGGTGATACATTTATAGCCAAAAAATATACAAGGGGGTGATCAATAGTCTAGTTTGGTTTTGGTAGAGCCACAAATACGGGTAGCAAAGACACCCAGAAGGTTTGAAAATAGAGTAGTCAGGAGTTTTGTGAAAAAGAACCTCAAAGGGAGACTTGTAGCTAAACACTGGAGAGGGTAAGCGATTAATGATGAAAATGATAGTGCTAAACGCTTTTACCCAAAATATTGAAGGAAGGGAGGAAGCAGTTAGCAAGGTGACACATGTTTGAGTGAAATGCTGATGTTTCCTTTCTAGGGTCCGATTTTGCTCATGATCTGCAAAGGTCTTAGTCAAAGCAAGGTACTCCTTGGCACCATCAATTTGCAAAGCCTTTATCTTTTTATTGGATTTTAGTTTTACTATAGTTTTGAATTGAATGAAATTTGATGGGACTTCTAACCTATTGTGTAAAAAAAAAAGCCAAGTGAATATACTATGAGCATCCATAAATAGAATATAATATCTGTAGTCTTCTTTTGATGGTGTGGGAGAGGGACCCCACATATCAAAATAAATGAGATTAATGGGATAATGATAAACAAACTCAAAAATAGGAAACTAAAAACCAAATTTATTATTTGTAGAATATGAAATGTTACAAAGATTCAAGATATGTTTGACAATCTTATTGGAACAATGACCTAGTCTTCTATGCCAGATATCAAACTTATTGGTATAAACAGTAAAACTATAGGTAAAAAAAGAAAATTGAAAAACTTGGAGGAAGGGACTTCAGATATTTAAAAACATAAAGTTTGTCCTTAAGATGACCTTTCAGAAGAACCTTATAGGTTTCCTGACATTTAATAACACAAAGTATGAAATGAATATTGAGAAGAATATTCTAGGTTTCCTTTGCAAATTGGGAAACACTTATAAGATCTTTTGGTTATATCAGGAACATGTAAGAGATTGTTCAAGGTAAAACAAATATTTAGATTATTAGAGTAAAAGGATGAATGTCTAACATGTGAAATGTGTCCATGTGCACATGATCACCGTCGTTATAGTCATTTGATTATCATGAGTAGTATAGTCAAAATCAAGATAAGATTCCACGATTTTGCACCCTATTGTCATGTTAGTTCCCACATGAGTCTACATCGTTGCGGGTTGAGGCTACATCCTCGTGGATCATGGGTTAAGAGTGAGTCATCATCATTTGTAGGTTAGGGCTATGTCGTCGCCGATTACAGAGTTAGAGTAACATCATCACCAATCACAAACAATGAAAAAAGGAAAAAAAATTGTTTGTATTTAGTATTCCACCTCACATAAAATATGAAATATTTTTTGTCTTCAAAATTATTGAAAAAGAATAATAGTTTATTATTATTTTTTTAGCGAGGCCATTAATCGTCATCATATTATTTAAGCTTTATTATTAGTGCTTTATTGATTAGGTTTTAAATCTAAAACCTAAACAATCAAAGCCAACTTGTTTTTAACTTTATACTTATAACTTAAAATTTACCTCATGATATGTTATTTTATGATAAAGTTATGTGTATTTTTGTATATTTTGAGATGTGTCTTAGTGTTTATTTTATTATTAGAGTAATATATATTTTATATTATATAAAAGTAGGATTTACTATCCATGTTACAATTTCATGATTTAAGATTTTATTATCTCACTCGTAATCTTGATTTTGATAATCTTGATCATGAGATTGACAAGATTATGTGCCAGGTTGTTGGTAGCACCAATGTCTAGATACCAAGAATTATCCATGTGACTTATTGAAGTCGCAAGCATTGACTAAATAGAGTTGGTGTTAGAGTCATCATTCTGGCTGTGGGCCGTAGATAAGGTTGTTCAGTAAGATTTGCATCAAAGTGATACTAACAATGAAATGCAAAATGACCAACACGGCCACAAAGTTGACATTGGAGTTTTGAACCACGACCTTGTGTGGAATGAGTAGAATTATGTTTATCACTGCATCCTCGACCACAATTGTTGGACCATGATCACGAAGAGTGTTCTGAAATCCTCTTCTTGGTTTATCTTAACTATGAAGAATGTTTGCTTGAATAAGGATGGTATCCAATTGTTTGTGAGGCTCTAATCGTTCTTCTAGATTCATGAGAGATGTTTTGATTTGAAAAACAATGAAGGGTTCGAACTGGGTGAGACATGAAATGATGAACCCATTGTAATCATCAGGAAGACCATTAAATATCGTGTCAATATGTTCTTCATATGTCAATAGAGAGGCGATGACATTAAGAGCTGCAACCATATACTTAATTTAGACTAAATACTCGCTGATGAATCCCTATATCTTAATGTTGCGAAGCTGAATGCTAAGTTGTTTGACTCACGCTTTCGTGTATGAAGAAAAATATGTTTTTAAAATTATCCAAGTTTCATGTGACCAAATGCAACCAACAACGCGAAATTGATTGTCCATGGATTCCAAAAGCTAAGATTTGAGAAGATTATCCTGTTGTTCGAAATTTTCATATGCAAGATTGACATAATATTTTGCCTCATCTTCTTTGGTGAGAAATTTCGAGGGAATTGCATGACTGGTGTTTCAAGCGATAACCTTTAATTGTTGACTCATCAAGTTGCATCCATGTGAGGAAGTTATCTTCTGTGAGTTTGCAAGAAATCGTTGAAGAAAAGGTTTGAGGAACGAAGATTGTTGAAGCGAAAGCCATAGATTCAGATCGAATGGCTTAATATGATACCATGTAAGGAGATATCTCAATATTCATTTATTCTATAAGAATAAGTTTCTATCATGTACAAAGATGTGCATACGAGACTTATTTATAATAATCTAGATGTCACTATTCTAACACAAAAACCAATTGGAAGTTGTTTTCTTTTATAGTTTACAAGTAGAAATATTATTTGTTTGGGCAAATAAAATCTTACTTGATGAAAAATGAGGTAGAAATAATTATTTCCATTAATATTATTTTTGTTTAAGTGAGAATGAAATCAAGATAATTCTATTTTTTCTAGAAGTCTCATTACTCAAGTGACTAGTTCTCACTTGAACAAAAAGACTTCAAAGTATAATCTTTTATACATTTTAGCTTGAGCGATGAACCTTTTAAGAAAATTATATATATATATTGTTTAACTCGGTTTTAATTTGCTAAAAACTAAATTTATAGTTGCATATTGATTCATAGGAAAGTTTTACTTGAAAACAATTTTTCACCAAATTAACTTAGTATTACCATATTCTACTACATAATTATTATTATCACACGTTATCAACTTATAGATATAATTTCATAGTTATAAAATTTAATATAACTTCATCCAAAATTCAATTCAAAACATATTTCTCATCTTTGAAACCATTCTAATTAAGTCATATTCACACGTTCATGTGTACTACCCTAATGTACTATCAAATTAAAAAAACTAATATATTTTATTTTTCACTTAATTTTTTCAAGTTTAAAAATCTTCACAACTCTTAAAGTCTCACAAGATCTTTAAATTTGTTCAAAAAATTTATAATTATCAAACTAAGTATATCACCTCAATCATATACTAACAAATGTTTATCATTATCTAAGATATAACACATGCATGTTTTTAAGGTGTCAAAATAAACTTAAATTAATAGAATGATTTGAAAGGTCTAAGAAATATATTAAGTTAGGTAAAAAAAAATTGTGATATAAATTGAATTAAGCGTATGTTGGTCGATTCCCTTTTAGGTCAAGATAACTCCTAATCTCATAATCTGTTTTATAGAATAATAATTATTTTTAAATAAAATAAAATAATATATTTTATATATATATATATATATATATATATATATATATTATAAATTAATTTGATAAAGACTTAATTTATTTCAATAATAAGTATTTAACATCCATTTGTTTCACGACCTACTAGTTAAGATGAATTACTATTTTAGATTAATAAATTATTAAAATAATAATGATGTTAATGAAAAGAAACTTTTTAACTCTTATTTTATGATTTAATAAATATCTTCTTTTATAATTTATATATCAAATTATTATATTTGAAAAAAATATTTTTATTAATATAATTCATATTTTAAAAATGTATTTTTATTTTTAGTTATTATTTAAATATTTTTTAATTAATTGTTTTGATATAAACATGTTAATAATTTTTTTTATTTTCAATCAGAATAAAATTAGATTAATTTGTTGGCCTACTATAAAATCACGTTATACAAAAAAAGTTATAATTAATTTAAATAAATGCGTCAAGTTAGAGTATAATATTTTTATTTAATTAATAAGATTAGGTCAAATTAGGTCAAACTACCTTTTAACATCCAAAAATTTCTTATAACCAACTCAATAAAAAGATCTCGAAAAACTTATTTAAAATTAACTTTTAATTATAAAAAAATATTCTATTAATAAAGAAGTATTCTATTTTTCACGTCTTATTAACATATTCAAATTTGAAAAAGTAAGAGATGAATGAATTTTTTTATAATGAAAATACATGTTTTAAAAATCTAAAGAAATAATAATTTTAAATAAATAAAATTTGAATAATTTTTTAACTTAATTTAATCAATTTGACTAATAAAATTTTGGTTTGTGCATTTTATTAATTAGTAAAAGATTATAATAATTTTATTTGTCGTCAGTTTGTTTTAGTTTGATAAAAACTTTGTAAAAAAAATTAATATTACTTTCAATTGCGACAATAATATACCTCTTGAACTAATAAATTCCATTGAAGATTCTAACATTTATTAACTCATATATATATATATATATATATATATATATATAATTAATTAATTAATTAAAAAAGTTTAGAATAGACAATTTATGATAAGTAAACATCCCATTATTGAAGATGAGTTGGACTCTTAAAATTTGAATCAGAACAAAATTATTTAGCCGAGTCCAATGAATTAATAGATCAAGTTGATTTTCTAAAATTTGGGTAAGAAAAAATTGGGTCTATTTAACCTAAGCAAAGTAAACAAATTAAATTTAATTTTCTATTAGATTGTGTACAGTATTCTCTCTGAGTATAATGCGTTGAACACGGATCAAACAATACTGAATTAATCCTTATGGTGGTGTAACTGATATTTTGTCCTATGTTGCTTTTAGTTTACTTTTACTTTTTCCGTTCTGTACTTTGTTCAATTTCCATCTCTAAAAAAATATATATTATAAATTTATTTGATTTGATTTTTAAAAATTATATATTAATTTTGCAAATCTATTTTTAAAAATAAGTTAAATTATTTTATAACTTTCTTTAAAAAAATTATTTTAGATGAAAGAAAAAAACATATATAATTAAAAAAATATAGTTGCAGACTTAAAAAAAAATTATTTTTACAATTATAATGATAAAATGAGTAATTTAATATAATTAGATAAAAATATTAATACTTATTAATAAAGACAAAAAAAAAATCAAATCAGAACATATTGTTTATCAATTTATTTTTAAATTTTAAAAAAGTTAAAAACTATCTTTTAAAATAGTAAATAAATAAACTCTAAATGTACTTAATTTGCTACTGATTTGTTTTTTTTTTCTAAAACTAGTTTTACCTTTTATAAAGTGAAATTAAACTATCAAATTAGATGATCTAACAACGAAATTACGAAGACTTTACCTTATGAGCATAACTCACAAAACTTCATTTTCACTTTTAATTAATGTTTTAAAAACTTGACTGCCATTGAACCCATGTATACATAAATTTAGAATCTAAAAATTTAATTGGATGGAATTAAATTTAATAAAATAAAATTTTATACTATAATAAATATAATAAGTTTATTAATAATATTTTTTGTAAAACAAATAATAAATATTATTATTATATTCATGTTTTAAACATAAAATATATTAAATAATGTAAAATAAATAATTATTAAAATAAAATAAAAATATAATAAAATAATTATTATTTAAAACTGACATAATTAATATAAAATAAAAAAATATAAAATAAATTATATTTTTATAAAAAATTTATATTAAAAAAATTAATATTTTTTTATCAAAATCGATTTAACCTAAAAATTCAACTATGTCCCAATTTTTTAATTGGTTTTTAAATTTGAGCTTTCCAAAAATTCTATTAAAGCAAGAATGTTGTATGAAGTTAATTCTAATTTATTAGTAATGTTGTAAAAATTGGTTTCTTGATTTCGAGTTAATTAATTAATAATCAAATCAGTTTGGTTTCTCTATAAAAGTTTAATATAATTTTGATAATTTAATTTAATTTGTTTATCATAATAAAGTATTAATATATAAATTACAAATAAAATTTAAAATGATGTGATTTTATCATTTAAATTTTAAAATATTATTATGGTAAAATAACTAATATCTAAAATATTTTTTTCTATGAATATATCATTCAAATCGAATCAACATTAGATAAATGTATTTCTGGTGTTAATCTGACCAATCTATCCATCAAATCTTGGTTGGACAAGTGAATATATTATAGGTTTTAGAATTATGTTTATAAGAAAAAAATATATTTTGTGTTAATTTTACTTTTTTTATAAATGGTTATATAAAAAACTTAAAGTGAGAAGGGTAAAACGAGAAAGTCATTTTACGCTTGACTTTGCTTGAAACTCCTGAAAAACATTTTTAGGTGAGTTGATCTACTCAACGTATGTGAACTAAAGCTCATCTCATTTAAAACGATTCATTGACCAAATATGAAATAATTTTGTAACTATTTATATAACCACTTTGTCTCCATCCAGAATCATGTGGGGCGGCACCAAACGAATACGATAGAAATTAAGTCCCATATCCATGTGGGATCTTTTAAATTATGTTATAGGTAAAAAAAAGAATTGAAATATTCCATTCACAAACAACAAAATTACATTGTGATTGGACTTTTATATGATGAAAATAAGAGATTATGAGAAGATAATTTAGTAGATGTAGTATATTTTTGTTGTTGGAAGAAGTCTAAAAAGAAAGTGTTTTAATTTCACATTATCAATTTGGTGTAAAAACTGATAGACACTGAACAAACTTTTATCTGAGGTTTGTATAATAACTGTTATTAAGGATTTATTCGCGGTATATTACGCAAAAATACGAACTTCTCGGAATATCGAAAAATATCAGAAACTAACAAGAAACTCTCAAAAAGTAAATTAACCCAAGATAACAAAAAAATATCAGAGAAGAGAAGACGAGAGATGTGTTTTTTTGTAGAGTGTGAAGTGGTCTTTATTTATAGGAGAAAATCTGTAGCAATTATGAGAACACTTGGTAGTGGGTATCTAAAATGTTATCTATATAGTATTCTACAACGTGTGACGACACGTTCTTTGAAATTATATTCTGTAATATGTGAGAACACGTTCTAAGTTTTGCAATACCCCTTAATTTACAACACAATTATCATGTACATTGTTTTTAAATTTTTTATTTTAAAAAAAGTCTTAATAAATTAAAATAAGCAAAATTTATAAGTAAAATAAATTATATTTATGATAAAATAAATTTAATTTTTATGTATTTTTTATACATAAAAAATATGTATAAATTTCAAAATTTATTATTAATTAAATATATATTTTAATTTATTATATATATATTTCATCATTTTTATATAAATAAAGTATTTATATTATTATTATTTAAATATTTAATTATATAGATTAATTATTTTGTAAGTTTGTTATTTAAAATGTTAATAAAATATAAAACATATAATTTATAATAAAAATTTTAATAAATTAATTTTTATTTAATTAATAAAAAAATAATAAAATTTTTTAATTATCAATTCTTTATAATAGTTAATCATTTAAAATATAAATTATTTAATTAAAATAAAATTTAATATATGATAAATAAAAATAATAAAATTTATGATATAATAAAATTAAAAAGTATAAATTAAAAATAAAATAATATTAAGTATTATTATATGAAGAAAGATAAAATCCTAAAAAATTAATTTTATGTGTTCGTTAAATTAATTAAAAAAATTAAAAACAAAAGGTAAAATAAAGAAAAATATATGTTAAAAAGAATAAAAAATTAAAGTTGTAAAGAGAGAATGAAAAAAAATATAAATATATATATATAATGGGCCGTTTTGGCCCATTGCCAAACCTTTTATTTTTTTGAAAACAAAAAAAGAGAGTAATAGATTAAGCATCATCTGTTCGGCCCACTTAAATAGTATATCAAACTGACTCATGAATTTTGTCATTCATAAACCTAAGCGAGTGAAATTCACATCTCAGCAACTCTAACTATTACTGATAAATGTCACTCTGAAGTGTGCAAATAATTATTAAAAAAAAAAACAAATATATTTATGTTTTTTTGTTGGCCTATTTGTTTATATAGATGTATTATTGTAAATTTAAAAGTCAAGTTAAATAATGAGTTAGCAAAATTTATACTGTTCTAGTTGAAGCCATTTTGTTAAATAAAAGTTATTCATTTATTTTTTATTACTTGTTGTCACAATAATTTTATTCTATAAATTTTTTTTAACAAATGAATTCACTAGATATACTTATAACATCACCAAAATATCACTAAAACATAAAAAAATTATTTGAATGCACGCGTACTAAAACAAAACAAAAATAAAGCAAGCGAGCAAGAAAAGAACAAAGATAATTGGTGAAAAATAATACAAAACTATGCAGATCAGATAGAAAAAAATAATCAGATGGGCGTACTAATATTTCTAAATGAACGTACTGATACTAATATAATAAAAAAAATACAAATATTAAAATTAAGAAAGGAAGTATTCTTTCACCAACAAAATGAAAATATATTTATATAAAAAATAATTATAATAAATATGGGTAAGATTGTTAATATTTTTAATAATAAATAAGTTTTTTATACTAAGACTACCTGTCATTTTATATTTGACTTTAAATTAACTCATCTATACAAAATATATTTTTATTATAAATGAAAATTAACCTAAATTATTAGAAGAAAATGTTTAAACCTTTTAGGAGACACAATCTTGAACCGAGTGAAATTGGCATAACCAACGTCATCACCTGATACAAATCGGTCAAAACATATGCATGATATCAAAAATTGAGACATATTACTAAAAATTACAAAAATTTAAGAGACAATTAAAGACCTCATCTAAGTTGGTGCACTTGACAAGTTTATTCAAAACTATAAGGATAAAAATTATAAATTGGGAAGGTCTCGAAATTTCAAGAAACGAGTTCATCCACGTTTTAGTAGTTAGGGGAGAGGATGAGGTCCTCCTAAGTCGAACTCTCAATCGATCACTCACACACAAAATATTTTAACCAAAGATGTTAGAGGAATGATAGACACAATAGTCAGAGGATTCACTAAAGGAGCCAATACGAGCTCAACTCAGAAAAGACAACTAAGATCAATTAATAATGTCAAATTTTATTCAATCATTTCAACTAAGAGCGATGTCTCCCATTACTTTCATCGATAACAAATTAAACTCTCATCATCCTAAACAAAACGACCACATGGTAAATGCAATTTATATAGCCAACTGGGGAGTTTAAAAAATATTGATTGACTAGAGAAGTTCGACTGATATTTTATATTAGTCCACCTTTCTCAGAATCTACATCTCACATGATTTGATCTAACCATATCTGGATTCTCTAGTCGGTTTCGCTGGTGAGCGATTCCATACTTTTGGGGTTGGGGAGGAAAGTAAGAGTATTCTTGTGAAGTATATATTGATAGAAGCATATACATCCTACAATATCTTGATAGGAAGGAAAACACTCAATCAGCTTGAAGTCATTTCCCCACCTGGGCTTAAAATTCCCAACAAAAGGAGGACGTATCACCACGGTAAAGGCAAATCTCAAGAAAGCTAGTGAATGCTACACTATAAGTCTGAAAACTCAGTCATATTTGTTAAAAAGAGGCAATAATGAACTAAATATACATAGTCAGAACAATGTCCGGGAAGCCCTTGCCACGAGGAAGATGAATGTAGTGGGGAATGTTATGGATGAAAATCAATTTACGCAACTAGCATAAGTACTCAATAGAAATGCTGACCTATATGCCTAGAACGCAACTGACATGCCAGATATTGATCCTAACTTTATGTGTTATAAACTTTCCACTCTATATGGAGCTAAACCTATAGCACAAAAAAATTTAAGTTAGGAGAAGAAAGGCGTAAAGTTGTAAGCCTTGAGGTAGAAAAATTGATGAAAGCCAAGTTCATTCAAGAAGTAACTTATACTACTTGGCTAACAAATGTAGTCCTAGTAAAACAAATCTAATGAAAAATGGGGCATCTGTTGATTACTCCTATCTAAACAAGACTTGTCCAAAAGATCCCTATCCACTACGAAGTATTGACCGGCTAGTGGATAACACTTTTGACTATGAAGTACTAAGTTTTCTAGGTGTATACTCTCGTATACCCATGTATCATCTCGATGGGAGGAAAAAACAACTTTCACTCCTGAAGAGGCAAACTATTATTATAAAGTCATATATTTTGGCATGAAAAATGTGAGGGCCACATAGCAGAAGTTGATGGATAAAGTGTTCAAACGCTTAATCGACGATATAATAGAAGTTTATGTAGGTGATATGATTATTAAATAAAAAAAGTTCAAGATCATGTTGATCACCTCGAAAGAGTCTTTTTGAGGTATGGAAACATAACATGAGACTTAATCTAGAAAACAAACATGTGAGGATATAATTACACTCCCTAATCTTCCATGAAAGAAATACATTTCCATCTAACTTATGAGACAGATGTCATGATACCCGTTGAGATTGGTAAAGAGTCACGGAGAAGAGAAATTTTTAATGAAGAAAAAAATAATGAAAATTTGAGAATTGAGTTGGATCTAGTCAGTGAAGTACAAGACGAGACTCATATACGAGAAGAAGCAATTAAGAGAAGAGTACAAAGAAGATACAATACATGGGTAAGAGAGAGAAGTTTCCATAAAAGTGATCTGGTATGGAGGAAAGTCGTTAAAACTCATAAAGACCAAACAAATGAAAAATTATCTTCAAATTGTGATAACCCTTACTAAATTGTAGACTCATTTCATAATGGGGCATACAAATTACAAGAATTGTCTAGAAAGACGATACCTTAGACATATAACGCCACACATCTTAAAGCATATTATAGTTAAAAGGTAAAATATTAAATATTTTTCCATCAATTTAGACATCATTTAAATTATTAAAAAATATATAAAACATAAATAGAATGACATTTAGCAAATAAAAAATAATTAGAGTACAAGATATTTAAAGGGGTTCCAATACAAGTTGGTCATCTATCAATATCTTCTTCATATCAAAAAGTCCAATATCAATATTAGGACTAATAACAATGACCTGTTCCACAACCTTCTTAAGCTCATCTTCATACACTTCCATCAACTGCCCCTCAACCACTTGAACCTTAGTCATATATTTATCACATGTCTGTTGAAGGTCGATGACCTTCACCTCAAGTAACTCAGTTTTCTCCATGGTCGCTTTAAGGTCAGCTTCAACTTTTTCTTGGGCCAGTTTAGTAGCTTCAACTAAGCTTTCTACTTTCTTGACCCTTTTTATTAAAGAATTCTTTTCCAATGACAGAGCATTATTCTGTGAGACGAGAACTTCATTTTCTTTTGCCTTAGCCGAGAAGACATCTTTAAAATTTGTCATCGGAGTTCTTCCTTTTCCCTGCGTAAAGCGATCAACTCTCTCATCCACTAATCTTTTCCCTAATGAATGTCAGCCACAGTGTTTTTATACATGTGAATTATTGATAAACACCAACCTAGTAGTACTTCGACTAAATCGAGGTTGTCCTGAGGTTCGACAAAGCGAATCATCCCAATATTATGGGTGGTGGAAGTGAAATACCCACCATCATCTTGTCAGTAGTCATGTTCAGGTGCCACATGGACTCTACTTGTGGAGGGGCTTCACGAGGAATCCATGGTTTCTTTGGAGAAGCTGATGGGGTTGGAAGAGGTCTTGGAGCCCGAGCAGCAGTTGAGGTTTCTCTATCTATTCTTGTTTCAGGTTGCTCAGGCTCAGCAGTGGCTGGGTTTTCCACCCATTGTCACTTTTAAGGAGCTAACTTCCTCCTCCCCTCCATAGATCAGCTAGATGGAGAGTCCCCATGTCTGGCCTGAGTCCAACGATAGTTAAATTTAGGATTCATAATTTTTGCATAATAGCATGTAATGGTTATAAAGCATACAATTAAGGAAAATATTTTAAATAAATCAAAGTATTCATAGTCTTACCCAAGAAAGGAGCTCTTGGGTCCCTAAAAAATGGGACAAAGAGACAATCCCGATAGTGGATAAGTTGAGGAAGAATCGTCAATATTTTGATATCATTCTTATCTTCAATAGATAAATGGTGATCAACTTAGAATTTAAATTTGTGAAGAACTCACCAATATAGAGGAAAACATGGAGAATAGTTGGGATTTGTTAGAAAACTAATAATTAAGATCCTGATTTTGATTCTAATGATCAAACATAAACATTATCCCATACTCATAAAACATGTTGTAGACTGAATATGAAAGCATACCTGAATAAACAGACCATCATTGTTTAAAGGAGAAGATTATCAGTTCTGGAAGATGAGAATGAAAATATTTTTACAAACACTAGATTACGGTGTTTGGAATGCTGTACTCAACAGTCCCTATATTCTGATGAGAACACCAGAGTCTGGAGTTGTTCCAAAGACTTTTGACCAATGGACGCCAGATGAAAACAAGTGTGCCCAATATGATGTAAGAGCCTGAAATGTTATTGCTTCTACCTTAACTCGTAATGAATTTTTTAGGGTCTCACAATGCAAGACGACAAAAGAAATATGTGACACTCTTGAAGTGACACATGAAGGAACAATTGAACTAAAGCGAGCACATAAGAACACACTCATCCAGGAGTATGAATTGTTTCAAATGCAGCAGAATGAAAGCATCACAGATTTCTAGACATGCTTCACACATATAGTAAATCACTTGAAAACATTAGGAAAGAGTTTTGATAATGAGATTTAAACACAAAGATCTTGAAATCCTTAGACAGGAATTGACAACCAAAGGTCACTGCTATTACAAAATCAAAGGATCTCACAGAAATGAATATTGCGACTCTATTTGGAAAGTTGTGAGAACATGAGATGGAGCTACAAAGGTTAAAGAACGGTGAGCATAATCAAACCAAGACAATAGCTCTAAAAGTAGAAAAATCTTCACAAGATGAAAGTGAAAATGAAGGTAAGTTTTCGGATTTCGATATGTCTCTTTTTATTTAACAATTTTCTCGTTTTATGAAGAATAGGAAAAAGAGACAACAAAGAAAAGAAAAAACAAATAAATATCATTGTTATGAATGTGGAAAACCTGGTCATATCAAACTATACTGTCCAGAACTTAAGAAAGAGAAGAAAGATATGAAAGAGAAGAAGAAATAGAAGAATGGTATCTATAAAAACAAACACAAAACTTATATTGCTTAGGAGGATAATGATTCTTTCACAACACAAGAGAGTTATTCTGAAAGCAGTGATGGAGAAGAAAATCTTTGCTTGATGGCAAAAAGTGATGATGAAGCTTCATCACGAGAAACCTCATCACAAGTAAGTAGCACACAATCCTCAAATGCATATGATGAGTTGTTTGAAGCCTATCAAGAAATTTTGAACATCTTGAAAGACTAGCTAAGAAACATACTGCACTTAAACAAAAGTTCATGCATTAGAAAAAACGTTTAATATTCTTGACAAAGAAAATGAGTGCTTAAAGAAAGATGTTGATAAATTTAAAACTTTGACTAAAGATAAAGAAGTTGTTAAACCTTGTGAAAATTGTAATCATTTGGAAAATGAGATTTCAAAATCTTCTGAAAATCTTGATTCTATATTAGGTTATCAAATAGGGGATTCTAGCTAAGCTGGACTTGGTTACAAACCTAAAGAAAGTCTAGAACCTCATAAAACTATTTTTGTGAAAGAGTCAAGGAAAACAGGTGTGAAACTAGTTTCAAAAACTTTAAGAAATTCATTTAGACCTCTTCAAAGAAAACCAACATGTTTTTATTGCATGAAATTAGGTCATACATCAAATAGATGTTACATAAAACATTTTGACATATCTAATGATAAATATGAATGTGTGCCTAAAGGAACAAAACATTTATACATGTCTAGATGATAGTTTGAGCATCTAATAGATTATGAATTTTTGGAAAAAAAATTTCTTGTTATCATAATTAATTATGTTGATTCTGAAGGTGTTGTGATAATCGATTATTATATCATGGTTCTATTCTTTTATCCTTAGGCTTTTGGCAGAGACTTGTGATTCTACTAACTTTTTAAGGACCTGTAGACCCCTAATTTTGCCCGGTCTCTCAATAAAGGCTAAAGGAGACTTCCTACAACAAGATAAAGCTCGCCTGACATCTCAATAAAGGCCAAGAAGACTTCCTATATGAAGATAAAGCTTCAACGGGCGTTTATAGGCATCAACCGACGTCCGAATAAAGAAAGGAAAGCTTCCCAGGGGTCCCAGAACACAAAAACTGGCCGAAACAGGTCGAGACGGCCGTCCCAAGGTTGAGACAACCGTCCCAACCTTCCCTGGCCAAGTGGGACGGCCGTCCCAAATGGGACTGCCAGTCCCAGCTTTTCAGGGAGTCCCAGTCTTCATAAATCATGCAGTTGGGACGGCCGTCCCAACCCAGACGGTCATCCCAAATGTGCAGGCAGCGAAAACTATAAATAGGAGGCTTATTTGCCACTGTTTGAGACACCAGACAACTCCCAGTACTTGTCTTTTCTCTTCCTTCTTCGAATGAACTCTCTGATTGCCTTGATAAGGTAACAATCAGTTAAGGAATCATATTCCAGCATTCGATTCTTCTGTAAAATTTAGTAGAGTCAGTGTTGTATTCGGAGAGGAGAGTCTTTGTAGAGCAAAGGATTGCCAAAACGCATCCTCACGATTAAAGATTCGCAATACAAAGCTTGCTACGGAGGTTCTGTTCAATTCTCTTCTCTTTTACTGTTTTATTTATTGCTTTATGTATGCAATATGAAATAAAGTCATGTAGATAGCCATTTTTAACATTATGCAATAAAATAGGGTAATCGCGTAATTTCTCGTAATCTTCACTTAAATGAATTAATCCGTCATAGGAAACCCGAAAGGGGCGTTGTGGGGTGCTAACACCTTCTCCACACGTAACTAACTCCCTTACCTAACTCTGGTTATAATGGCCAAGTTTTGTTTTTATTTAAATCAACGCCTTTTTATCCTTTTCCAATGTTTACGGTCAAAACATTGGTGGCGACTCCATAAGAACCCCTTTTCGAAAACCTTGCTTTTATTAGAGGATAGTTCAGTTGTTGAGCACCTCGGAAGCAATGAACATATTTTAACAAAAATGCGAGTCTAAACCATCTTTTCGCGACCGCTCGCATAAACGTTCGAGATGTCCCTGGACGTCGGAACGTACGACGGCGACAGATGGCGACTCCACTGGGGAAGCTAGAGAGTTGATCCCATTTAGTGACGGATAAATTCAAACTAAGTAAAGATTTGAAATTACGCCTTTACCCTCTTCCGTATGTTTTATTGTATGGCTTTAATAATTGTTGTATGATTATTTTTTGCAAATTGTCTGAAATATAAATTGCACACAAAAACCCTTGCACACAACAATCCTTCTATACCCAGGGGCAAGAGTGAATACCTATAGGGAGTGGGTGGCAGATACGACCGGCTTGTTGGCACACGGGGCTACAACCGTTGTCGCAAACCACCAACTCAAGGTGATAACTCTCTTCTTTTGGTCTAAGGATGTCGACACGGAGTTCCGTGCATGACCCGAGGACTGAGAGATTGAGAGGTCCCTATAATGGGGGCACCTTGGGGACCTTTGGCCTTGGTGAGAACAATTTAGAACCACCCAAATCAAGCACGTTTCTGCAGGAAAACACTACCTCGTGATTAAATAAGCGTGGCTCTGCTCGTGGATGTATGAATTGTGTGTGCATTCGTTTGCTGCATTTGTATTGATGCATTAGCATAGGGTAATCATACAACAAAAATAGTGAAAAACCCTAAAAATCATAAAAAGTGATAAGATAAGCCAACTTTATTTCGGACAGTCTTCAGTTAAGCTAACCTGGTTTCAGGTTCTTTGTAAGCTAAGTAGCCACGTTGACCGACAGAAGAGATAAAGAGTCATAAAAAATATAAAAACGATTGAAAGCCATAAAAATTCCTTTTTATAATAAAAAGATTCTTGGCAAAGTCGTATCATTCATACCACATCATCCAATAAGTGGTAAAACAAGAGAGAAAAAAAATGCACTAAGAAAAGTATGCATAAACATCATCATAATAAATCTATCATACATAAACATATTCATTCTAGGATTTATTAGATATCCTTAGACAATAGCGAAAGAGACCCAAATGCATTTATCACCTTCCTAGAAGAGATAAGTGCGCTAAGGTATGTTGGCAACCTTTGAAAAAAGGAAGTTAACACATTAAGGTGGGTATGGTATCCTTAAAACATAGGCTTTTGAGAAGATACCAAAGCTATTGTCTAAGGCATATCTATTTCACACCAATCATTTGAAATAAAAAGCTATAATAAAAATCGTTAAAATCATTTAGAAAGTGGTTGGTCTTCCGCCCGTCCTCACTCGTGCTAAGAAAGCTAAGAAGATGGAGCAACTAGAAGAGCAAAACCGAAAGCTCACCACTGAGCTTAATACGCTGAAAGAGAAAATGGCTCAAATGTTGGACATGATGCACCAACAGAACCTCCAAAAAGAGGGTCCTCAAAGTGGACAAGCCTCTCACCAAGAAGAAGAAGAGGAACCTCAGGATGAACATGACCAATATGATACAAGGGCAGTACATATTCATGCAACGGAAGTATCAAAGCAACAAATTACTGCTCTTGAAGAAAGGTTGAGAGCTATGGAGGGGCATAACTTTGATGTAAAAGAGGCGGTTGATATGTGCCTCGTTAAAAATATCCAATTCCCTAATAAATTCAAAACTCCGGACTTCCCAAAATACATGGGACTAACTTGCCCCAAAAGCCATCTTACAATGTACTGCCGTAAGATGGCTGCATATGCTGAC